TTTGGACAAGGGGGAATTTTCAAGCCCCACCTGCCCCCATCGCCCGACACAATGCTAATGAAATACGTAACAAGCTTAAAATGTTCCAATTTATTGAAGTAACAAGTATCAGTATAGTAACAAGTTGTATCTAAATACAAACATCAAATAACAGCAAGTTCAAAAATAAAGAGAATGAAGTGCATCTGTGTCATAACTTGCATGAAATTCAAAAATAGAGAAAATAAAAGTGCCTCAAAAATAGAAAAGAAATAAAAGTGCCACTTTGCAATCTGTTAAAAAAAAAGAAAAGAAGAGAAATCCATTTGGCAAGACAGGTCTATTTATCCCTGCATTAGTGACTGCAATGAGCCTGTTTTGCATTGCACAATTTCTCAAAGCAGGGTTGCAGGCTTGATACTGCCACTCTCAAATCATGTTCAATGTTCAGCGGAATTTCATGTCTTGTCGTAAGCCACAACATAATGACGTCACATATTTTCCAACCCAGCCCTCAACCCCCACTTACGCATGAAACAGCTTCCAGCGCGCCTGGCCATCAGCGCGAAACATAGGCTACATATCTATGGGCGCAAAAGTTTGTTCCGCTACAAATAATATGCCGACGTCACGTCAATCATTATTTTGGGGGTGGGGAATTCCTGTTACTTGTTGTCGCCCCCGGGGGTGATCGGTCTAATAAGCGGCAACACACAGCTATAAGGACGGTTTGCTCTCACACGCGCTGCATTAATAGTCACACACGCGCGCGCGCGCTCAGTCACTCTCTACTCTAGTGCGCGGTCTTGCTCCAGATTCCGGGAGATTGGATCTCATTTGCGGGCGCCAAGGAGCCGCTATCAATATGCGGGAGACTCCCGGAAGATTTGGTATCTCTGGATAAAGATATAAAGGCATAAAAAGGAAAATGTCCTCCCGTTTGGCGCGCCCCACCTGTCACGTCTCTATTCCCCACCAGTGGGGCGCGCCCCACACTTTGAGAACCGCTGGATTAGGGTTTGACCTAAACCCTCCAGGACAGTGGGTCTTCAAGCTAGGCTTAAGACCTGTGGTTTACATCATGGGCTGTGTAGCATTATGCAATTTACAACAAAAGAAAATATAAATGTCTCAGAACATATTTTATGTATCATATTTCATAAATAACACAAGATTTTCCTTTTCTGTCAGTTTTTTTTTTCGTGAGTTTGAATTTGTGCAATGGATTGTGGGTCCAAATATTTTTATATTTTCCCCTCTCCATCCCTCAAATGGGCTTGCCACATATTGGAACTTTTCTTTGCATTTAAACATACCATATAGGCCTATAACCTGACAGGTCTGGAAGTCCTGATGCTCTGTATATATGGCATGGTCCATTCCTGCTCAGTTTACAATTAAACATTTCCCTTGCCACTCAAATACATTATGTGTATGAGGTCTATGTCAGAGTTGGGTGGTAGTGGACTGTTCCACTTCTACTACAAAGATTATTGGTCCCACTTTATAGGTGTCTTTAGGCTATTTAAATAATTGTATACAGTGCACATATTGTGTAGGTATCCTAAATGTTTTTACATTGTTATCTTTATGAAAAATAGTTTTTTTTAATTAATTAATTACTGTACAGCTGTAATTAATTTCTGTAATTACATTTATAATTAGGGGTGATCTGGGCACAAACTAATGCGGGGCTAGTTGTAACACATATGGTTCAAAACTTTACACACATGCTTGCATGAAAAACTTAGTGTATTTACTAGTAGCCATATCAACACTATATAGAGAAAAAATTGCGCCAAAAATAAGAAATCTTAGGAAGATATCACTCAACATTTATTTAACCATAGAAACAGTCAATTTCTTACCGTAAGTAAAAACCTCTGTTTTTCGTGTTTATTCAAAATTTGACAAATCTGATATTATTTTAATCTTATATCTGTTATTTAACAGTTGAGATAGTTCTTTAGCCCTGTAAGACCCAAATATAAAAAAATATATATATAAAAAAAAAATGTTTTCACCTGTCAGATGTTGTTGTAGGAGGCCTCTGATGCAAATAATGAAGGATTTTTTTTTAAATTATGTTTTAGTAAGTTTTTAAGGAAATGTAATATTGCAACGTTGGGCCTAATTGGGAGCAGAATTTCAACATTTGCACTCACACTGTCAGAACAAATAAGGGCTCATTTAACGTGTGGATTGCTTACATAGCACCATTACAGTAAATTTTATGAATAATAATAATCACCCAACAGTCATATTTTTATGGTAAATAGACTGCATTTGTATAGCGCTTTCACAGACCCAATGGCCACGAAAGCGCTTCGCATTTTGCCTCACATTCACCCATTCATACACTCATTCATACACCGACGGCGGTGTCAGTCATGCAAGGCGCCATCCAGCTCGTCGGGAGCAGCTGGGGTTAGGTGTCTTGCTCATGGACACCTCGACACTTGGTCAGGTGGAACCGGGGATTGAACCACCAACCTTCTGGTTTGTAGACAACCTACATGAACCACTGACCACTGCCCCATGAATGAATTAGAATTATGAATTAGAATTTATCAATTAGAATTTATTAAAAATAAACATAAACTATAAATATTAAATACAAAACAGATTGAAAACTGTCAAAGAAACAATGTCCAGTGTTCACTTGCAATGGTAGTCCAAAAGCAGTTCCTTTCCTCTGAAAAGCAGAGACAGAGATTGCACTTCCCGCAGAGCGTATTCGAATATCCTTTTTTTAGTGTCTGCAGGGTCCTCTAATTCTGAAATGAAAATAATAGTTGTAAGAGTTAGAGTATGTTCAAGTATAAATAATTTAAATGTAAATGAATCCTTATGTGATACATTCCCCTGAAGTCACACATTTCTAAAAGGAATATACAAACCCCCAGACCTCTTACATCCCCACATTCCAGAACATTAACACCTGTCCGGGAACAATGGACCATGCAACCCCCTATATGTCTGAACATCCAAACCTGTCCTTAAATAACCATCCTCCAAAGCACTCCACAAACAGTGTCTGCCTTGCAACAAGCAGATATTTGGGCAAACAAACAAAGCCCAGATTTAAAAAAAAAAAAAAAAAAACAGTTAACTATATATACTGCTAACATACAGGAACAATTTCAAATACTGGTACTGAAAGGACTTAAAACACTGCAACCAGAAATCATTTATTCATTTAAAATGATTCAAATCTGATCTAAACTGAAAATTATAACAGATAACAGATTTAGATATTGTGAATCATCAAATACATTATATTTCTGTAAGTATTTCTCCTATATGTGAACATTTGAGAAGTGCAATGTCTCCATGTAATGTGCAAGGTGCACATATACTATTTTGACTATTCTATCCCAACGTTGTAAAATTACAACAAAGACATAAGAAGCTAAAAATCTAATTTGATGCATTCCACAATAACCAAGTTTTTACATGAACTAGACATTCTAACAATGACAACAAAAATATATATATATTTCTGGGGTTTTACTTACTTCAATGTTGAGATATCCAGTCCAATGAAACAAGGAGATGCGCTTCCAGGAAATTTTGCAGGTTATGAGTTCATGACCTTATGGCAAGACCTATATACACATTCACTATCCAATGGCATTGTATGTAAATGTGGTTTTAAAAAAAAAAAAAAAAAAAAAAAAAACTTGCAGATGTGTTTTTGGAAGAGCTAAAAGTGATGTTGTAATTTTAGAACCACAGGTCTTACAGGGTTCATGCTGATCTAAACCGCAGACACTAGCCGGGTTTAAATCCTATTGAGCAGGTGGATCATGTAACACTGCATTACAATGAGCGAGCCCCTATTATAACTACTGTATGCTATTCTATTCTATTCTATTCTATACTTTCATGAATTCTATCGAGAAACCATGAGAAAAAGGTGACTAAAGACTAAGAGTTAATGTTCAGAAATGATTAATTATTATGTTTTGAACTGTGCTGCAAAGCAGTGTTTTGTAGTTTGTTTGTTGTCTAACTCAAAAATCAGTTTATTTTTAATTATTAAAAAATACATAGAAAAAAGTTAATAATTGTATTTTATTGAAAAAATAATTTTTGTCTTGTATATTTTTTTATTAGATCAGATAACATTTTAATCTGTCATATGGTCATGTTACAATATGCCCCTCACATGTTACAACATGCCCCACAATATGAAAAGAAAAAAGTATACACTGTATTAATAAAACAAAACCACATAATTGTATAGACATGTGGGAAATTAATGTGGGAATAAATCAATTCTCTGAACCCCAAGTGGATTTACACAAACTGAGAAAGTCAACAATTGTAAGGTTGTGCCCCACTCTCCCCTACACTGCTGACCCTTCCTGAGTCCTGACTGCTAAACCGAACAGATTGATCAGTAATCAATATGTTCGGTTTTGAGTTTTGACCGTTTATGAGGCTCTGAATTGTAGGCTTTTGTGTCTGAGTAGCCTATAGCCTAATGTAGTGAAAAATACAAACAAGTTATATTCCCGCCCTAAACAACATTACCACACAGTCTACCCAATGCATAAAGATTGAATCAGTAATACTAAAACATGTCTTTTGGTTGAATGCTTGTTAATTAAGAGGTTAAGTGATTGGAGAGAGAGATAATTTCCACGATCAAATCTAGATATGAATGTGTTAATATACAGCGCTAGGTGGCGCAGTGAGTTCTGCACTCTATATAACAGCAGTTTATCATTAACTGAAAACCGATGTAAATAGTTCAGATGATTCGAGCTGCAGCTCCTGGCAGATGAGAGCTCGATCATGATGGTTTCTCGTCGTTTATACTGGACGCTGTGGATGTTGTCGTGTTTTAGTGAGACTTTTTTAGAAAATAATTATGCTGTTTTATGCTCTTTTAGAAATGAATTATGCAAATTATGCTGTGTTGAATTTCTGTATAAAATAACGACACTGTTGTAGTTTAACTGCAGAAACATGTAAGTCTGCTTTTTAGTGAAATTGTTTTTCTCCCCCCGTAGGACCATATTTCGGTCAAGATCAGCAGTTTCCTGATCCGGCTAATGGAGCAGTGGGAGAAAGCGTGAAGCTCGCCCCTAATAACCCACCCCCCTCCACATCCATTCTTATAACTCAATGGCATTTTACTTCAACTCTTATAATTACAGTAGCATCTGGTGTAACTACAGTAAACCCCGCATATGAAGGCAGAGCCCGTGTGGACATCAGCACTCTCGCTCTGGAGCTGAAGAATCTGACACTGGATGATTCTGGAACATACGAACTCAGAGTAACACTTACTGCTGGAGATCAATTTACAGAAGAAACTTCACTACAAGTGTTCGGTGAGTGTGTTACTAAAACCTGGTTCAGCGTTTGATAATAAATTAGGCTAGGCCTAAAAGATTATTATAAGGAGATGATACGGAGGTGTTTAGCTAATATGTGAAAGATTTAAAAAGAAACATTTAATATACAGTAAACCATGGATGTTTGAAAATGGCATTAGAACAGTTTAAGTGGCTAACAGAAGAAGGCTACTAATGAGGTTTTTTAAATATTTCAGATATGAAATTCGAGGCTTGATTCGAGGCTGATTCGAGGCTTGTCTCAAACGACTTTTTGTCCAAAAAATCCTCAATTGTGTGGTGTCATTACGATTATTTTACTGCTCCCAATCGTTGGTTGTCAAACATGATTTTTACGACTCCTGATCGGGTATACACTGTGCGATTTTTGTCCGATTTTGAGCCGAATTCTGACTCGTGCGACTCGGGCCGTTTTTCACCTTGTCGTGTGTTTGTCGTGCAGTGTACTACAGGTCGCAGGGCTAGTAGCACCTCATTGCAGTACACGAGATCCAGGGGGCGGAGTTGTATCCAGATCTAAGGGGTGGAGATAGGATTAGGGGTGGGGTTAGGGATCAGGGGGTGGAGATGTGTAGGATTAGGGGTGGGGTTAGGGATCAGGGGGTGGAGATGTGTAGGATTAGGGGTGGGGTTAGGGATCAGGGGGTGGAAATAGGTAGGTTTAGGTATATGTAAGATGGGAGGAGTTGGATCCGGATCCAACTCCTCCCCCTGGATTTCGTGTTCTGCAGTGAGGACCATCTCCGCAGGGCCGGATTATCAATAGACGGGATTGGGCGAGTGCCCTGGGGCACCAGCCAATAGGGGGGCACCAAATGATTAAGAGAATGACTAAACCTTTAAAATAGTTTTCATATTTTGTATACATATATTATTTTGCTGGAAGAGATGCAGATATAAAATGAACAGTTAATGATAAAATATATACAGAGAAAATATAAAATATGCATATAAAGAATTGCGATTGGGTCAGGTCACAGTGTAGCCTGTTTCTTCGAAATGAAGAAAAGACAGAGACATCGATCAGCATCACCAGCAGAAGGTCTAGCAGCGAAAAATGCCTCAACCGATACTCAAGCAGCATGTTGTGAACAAAGGCGGTAGCATAACACAAAGTCTGGAAAAATGGTTCTGCTAAAGGCTTAAGGCTTATTTACCATTATTTCTGGGCAAATACTGTATGTGACTGTTCTCGATTTTAAATTTGTGCAACGGTTTTCTCTTTTAGATGGTTGGTTTAGGGATGCTTATTACATGCATAACTTTTGTTTCAATCGGACTGAATTCATTCCGATTGATGACTCTGAATAGTACATGAACGCTAAACATGTGATTGGGGTTGATGTGCACGTTTATACGCAAGCTTAAAGGTCCCGTTCTTCTCGATTTCATTTTTCAAACTTTAATTAGTTTGTAATGTTGCTGTTAGAGCATAAATAATACCTGTAAAATTATAAAGCTCAAAGTTCAATGCCTAGCAAGATATTTTATTTAACAGAAGTCCCCTTTCAAAGCATACAGCGAACGGCCGGTTTGGACTACATCTCTCTACTTCCTTTTTTAATGACGTAACTAGAACAGTTTTTTGACTAATCTCCGCCCACAGGAATACACAAAAAGGGGGCGTGGTCTTGTTGCGCTCCCACGGAGAAGAAGCACTTCAGCTGCACATGCATCTCCAATTTATGGTAAGAGGCGTGACCTTTCCGGGCAACGTGCGATATGCTGCTGTCGAATCACAACACAGGAACCGCTGGCACAATCAGAACTCGTTACGTATTTCTAAGGGAGGGACTTTAGAACAAGGAAGTCATCAGGCCGTTTTTTGGACAGTGAAAACAGCGGTATACAGATAAGTAAATTCTGTGAAAATACTGTGATTTTTACACGCGAAACATGAACACATGTTATATTGCACACTATAAACACAATCAAAGCTTAAAAAAAACATGAAGAACGGGACCTTTAAAATCGGAATAGTTAACGTTAGTATAGCCTACTGCTGCTCGAGTTTCTGTTTACGCATAATAGCTACCCATCTTCTACATTGGTTCTTTATTTGTTTTAAACAGATGGCTTAATATTTATCCATTTCTGGTTATAATTTGGGGATAATGAGCACATGAACCGTTGTTGTACCGTGTTGCTTATATTTGTCATAGACTGTAAAAAAAGATGGACGACGCCCCTTCGCTCTCTTCCATTGGTGAGAACTTAAAAAAAAAAAAATTATTGAACACCAAGAACAGAACAAAAACAGAATATATCTACAATGGCATTGGTAAATACAGGTAAATTAGTATTAAACAAGGCACATATCAGTTAAATAAAAAAAAAAAAAAAAAAAAAAAATATTATTTCATTATCTTGTTTAAATTGTGCCCTCTTTATATAGTGCACATGTTTTCTCCATATATAATTGAAATTAATTTGATTAATGGTCTTAATAGCTCTATTAGAAATAGAGAGACAAGATGCAGGATAGATACACCTAGAGAGAGTTTTCATTTTAGTTAAATAAATCCTTCCAAAGATAGACAAATCCCTTTGCATCCATGCATCAAGCCTGCCTTTGCATTCATTCCATCTATTTCAGACAGTTTGCTTTTCCATCATGACTTCATCCTTAGAAATGTTTTTGCCTAAATATATGCCAGTCGACTTGATTGGAATATGATATGCAATTTTAAGAGGGCATTCGTGTATTGGTAATAATTTCACATTTGCCAATATTGACCTTTATACCTGAGAATTTAGAAAAATAGCTAACTATCTCAATTACTTCAGTCCATTGGTGAGAACTGAAGCCACCAGTGTCCCGATATGGCGCTGACATCTTGGGACTTAAGTCTGCACAGTAGCGATCTCGGGACCAGACCTGCGCAGTAGTGAGCAGGAAGTAAAGCCGCGAAATCAACGCCCTGCCCTCACTCTCGCAGAATGCACTCTCCCCTCACTTGCACTTATTTTAAAGCAACACCAAGTAACTTTTCCTCTGCAGTTGCCCTACAGGTTGGAAGCGGAATTGTCCATTACTGCGGTCGTAAATAATTCATCCTACTGTTGCACTCGCACGCACATACATGCACTCTGTTTATCCAGCACCGGCTTTGGAATCATGATGACAATTCAAAAGCTACCCGGCTGCTAGGTATCTTACATGTAGTTGTAGTCTACTGTTGAGTACGCTCCACCTATCGGCAATTGTAACGCTTGCCGTAAAGCAAGTCAAATTTGTAGTTTTCTTATGTCTCATTCGGACTACAGAAACGCGACCCGAAAATGTTTCTAAACCTGAACGTAACAACTGGCCATGTAGCTAATTGCTAACGTTTAGTGTAACCTTTAGTTAGCCTTACTAGCCTACTATCTGTCTGACATGAAAAAAACTTCAAGGACCACACCAGCCTTCATACAAGTGGATTTCCAATGATTCCTTGCTCCAAACGTATCCCTGTAGCAGCATTTATTCTCATAACTATTTCTTTACCTAGCAAGTCCAGTTGAAGTTTTCGCATTTTCTCAACTTCCGGTTGAAGCAAAATGGACATAGAGGACACATACCTCTCGTAGAGCATAATATTCCGAGCATTAAAAAAAGAGTAAGTCTCTACCCCATTCCTGTGAGGAGTTATGGCCGTTTAAAGAAACCACCGAAATGAGCTAAAACGGCTAAAGCTAGCTAAGTAAACTAGTAGAGAATGAATGCTGCTGCTAAAGGGATACATTTGGGATGAGGAATCATCAGAAATATACTTGTTTGAAGACTGGCGTGGTCCTTTCAGTTAATTACCATTACAATATCCATATTACCATTCTTTTCACAAAACGCTGGAGCAGACCTACCGGTATTCACTTCTAAAGTCACTGTCACTTACCACAGACAATAATAAGCAGCTTCGAAGTCCGTTGGTAACCGTTGGTTGGTTGTTCCAAACTCATTCAAATTACTAAGATCATGTGTGTGTGTGTGTGTGTAAGTGTGCCATGATGCTAAATATCCAGCATGTTTTTAAGAATTTTGAGAGTAGTCTAAAATTCTATTGAAGTTCTGAGCCTGTTGATCGCCAACTAGTAGTGAAATCATCACAGATCCACTGATTTTGGTTGGATTTTTATATTTTTTTCTGTTGAATGAGTATAGTGTTTGGTGAAAATAATGGCATATTGACTGATGTCATAACTTAGAGGAATAGTTGATTGCCAATGAAGTAAAGATGAAAATATTCAAAAAAAGTGAGAAAACGTCACGTGTTAGCACATGTGTTCTGTGTATATGGAATGCATTTATTGACAGCCTACCCAACCCACTAAGGATTTGAGGAAAAAAATCACATTTGTCACATTTTTCTTTTAATAAATAAAGGGTGCATACACTAAAATGGCCACAATTTTTTTCCGCGATATTTCCGGCAGAGCAGACCCTCAAATTATTCGTTCTTAGGATCAAAGTTAACAGAAAAAAACACAAATAAAAAGTATGGCAGACCATGTCAGGTTCAACCCATTTTTGGAGATGGTCCTCACTGCAGAACACGAAATCCAGGGGGAGGAGTTGGATCCAGATCCAACTCCTCCCACCTTACATATACCTAAACCTACCCATCTCCGCCCCCTGATCCCTAACCCCACCCCTAATCCTACCCATCTCCGCCCCCTGATCCCTAACCCCACCCCTAATCCTACCCATCTCCACCCCCTGATCCCTAACCCCACCCCTAATCCTACCCATCTCCACCCCTTGATCCCTAAGTCAAGTCAAGTCAAGTCACATTTATTTATATAGCGCTTTTCACAATACAGATTGCATCAAAGCAGCTTCACAGTGATAACATGAAAGTAGTACAACACAGTTCAATAATATTGTTGAATATTAAATATCCCCAACTAAGCAAGCCAAAAGCAAGGCGACAGTGGCAAGGAACCAAAACTCCATCAGATTGGATGGAGAAAAAAACCTTGGGAGAACCCAGGCTAGTCAGGGGCCAGTTCTCCTCTGGCTAACAATCATCGGGTTTTAAAGAAGCTTTACAGTAAGTCCATATCAGAGAGTACCTGGAAAAAATACATTTAGTTAATCATGTAATATTTAGGGGATAACATATCGCCGGCGTTGAGTCGTCTCTTCGCAGGCGTTGAGTCGTCTCTTCACAGGCGTTGGTCTTCTCATCACAGGCGTTGAGGCATCCGAAATCCCCGTGAGAGGCAGGATACCAAACTGGAGCCTACGAACGCCATTTTTCTCGGGACAAGCGTCCCGAGATAACAGCAGAAAGGCAGATGGGAAATAATTAGCATAGCTGATGTTCATAATGATTTCCATTACACGGGAGTAGGTGTTAGAAAACCATAATCTCACAACTCTCCGTAACCCAAACTCTCCGCAACCCAACCGCAACCATACGGACCGACCCGTTTGTCTATAAGGCTGTCGAGCCCCACTGGTGCGTTAAGCAGTTTCAGTGGCAAACGGTTCCGTATGGCATAGCAGAGGACTAAAAGGTAAGCATTATGTGAATGCTTGACTAAAGAGACACGTCTTTAGTCTAGTTTTAAACTGTGTCAGCGAGTCAGAGCATCGGACCGTATCGGGAAGGCTATTCCAGAGTTTTGGAGCTAAAGCCCACCCCTAATCCTACCCATCTCCACCCCTTAGATCTGGATCCAACTCCGCCCCCTGGATCTCGTGTACTGCAATGAGGTGCTACTGCATTTTTGAGACTTTGGCTCCCCGACTATTATAACCTTAAGAGGACGCACTGACGACGTTGTGGGTTGGTAATATGATGGTAATGAAATTACGAGCATGCAACGTTGTAGTTACGGTGTCAATTAGTAAAGTCATGACGTGACCAAAAAGTACGAATACATTACGTAACTGTTACGTCGTGTGTTAGCTGTACAGCAGCGACTGAATGCTACCCCATTTAAGTTAGTCGTGCAGTATGTGAAAAGAACAGTGACCTGACTACTTTGAAAATTAAAAACATTGATGCATTATTTTCAATAACTAGCACTTGTATTGTTTGTTCTCGTACTATTTTAATCAACAAATGGTTTGTTTAAAATAATTTTTAATCAAGTTTCAGCCAGAGAAGCACGCAACATCTGGTTGGTGAAACTTGCTCGCTCTCATTGGCTAAGTTCAAATATTTCTATATTCAAATATTATGAATGACTTTCGATCCAACAGCTGTGGTTTTGTCGTGTGCAGTGTCGTTCGGCTTTCCACTGCACACGACAAATGAGAGCCGTTGGACCGGTGTGGTGAAGTATTGAATCCGATTGGTTCAAAGCATGTTTTATGGGTAATCGCTTTAGTGCCTGGTTACAAATCAGAGAAAAGCACTTTATTATAGAAGACGTTTGAACTACGTAATAACGAGTCATTCATGTTTCTTAACTTATATGTTTCATACACTAGTATACAGTCATGGTCAGAATTGATGGCACCCCTGGTAAATATGATCAAACTGGCTGTAAAAAATAAATCTGCATTGTTTATCCTTTTGATCCTTCATTAAAAAAATTGGCAAAATTCAAACCTTTCATTGAAGTAAAAGAATTGAAAGTGTGGGGGAAATCACATTATGAAATAAATGTTTTTCTCCAAAACACGTTGGCCACAATTATTGGCACCTTTTAATTAAATGAAGTTTTATGTAACAAAGTTCGGGAGGAGCATGTTCAGGTAATCATCCAATCAGTACAAGAAGAAGCCAGTATAAATAAAGCCTTCCCTTACCTCCTGTCTCATGACTTCTTTCTCAGCATCCCTCCACCACCCCTTCACCCCACATTCGGCGGGGTCCGCTCATAGATACCTATGACCTCTAAGGTTAGGGGGGAGTACTCTGGGGTCGGGCCGAATTCTGAGCTCGGAGCCCTCCCCCCGGACAGCAAGCCAAATACGCATTATTATATTACATCAGATTTCATTAACATGTAAACTCGTGAAATACTTTTTGCAATCTCCTTTTGACAAGATACCAGCTCTGAGTCTTCTCCTATAATGCCTGATGAGTTTGGAGAACAACTGACTTGAGATCAGAGACCATTCCTCCATACAGAATGTCTCCAGATCCTACAGATTCCCAGATCCATGTTGGTGCTTCTTCTCTCCAGTTCACTCCACTCATCAGGTCAGGGAACTGGGACGGTCATGGCAGAAGTTTCATTTTGTGCTTCGTAACAAATTTTTGTGTTGATTTTGATGTTTGTTTTGGATGTTTGTCCTGATGGAAGATCCAACCACGGCCCATTATAAGATTTCTAGCAGAAGGCGTCAGGTTTTGATTTTTTATCTGTTGATATTTGATAGAATCCACGATGCCATGTATCTGAACAAGAAGTCCAGGACCTCCAGCAGAAAAATATGCCCACAACATTAAAGATTCAACGATATATTAAATTGTACACATGGGGTACTTTTTATCCTTGTGTGAACCAAACCCATCTAGCGTGTTTGCTGCCAAAAAGCTCTTTTTTTAGTTTCATCTGACCACAGAAACCTGTGCCATTTGAAGTTCCAGTTATGTCTGACAACTGAATATGCTGGAGTTTGTTTTTGGATGAGCGAGGAAGATTTTTCTTGAAACCCTCCTAAACAACATGTCTTGATGTAGGGGTTGTTTGATTTTTTTTTTTTTTTTTGTGGCTTTCTGACCCCCAAGACTCAACTAATCTCTGCAATTCTCCATCTGTGATCCTTGAAGAGTCTTTGGCCACTCAAACTTTCATCCTCACCGTCCATTAAGGCAATATAGACACACGTCCTCTTCCTGGCAGATTCGTAACATCTTTAGTTCATTTGAACTTCTTAATTATTGCCCTGATGGTCAAAATGGGGATTTTCAATTATTTAGCTATTTTCTTACATCCACTTTCTATTTTGTAATGGTCAACAATTTTTTAATGGACATCAGAACTATATTCTTTGGTTTTACTCATTGTGATGAATGAATAAGGGGATTTGGCATTTGTGTTTCCTCAAATTCAAACTCCTGTGAAACACGAAGTCATGGCTGGACAATTTCATGTTCCTAGTCACCCTGGTGTGCTAAAAAAGGTAAATATTAATGGGAATATACTTCAGAGATATTTTACTGGTAAAAAAATGTAGGGGTGCCAATAATTGTGGCCAACGTGTTTTGGAGAAAAACATTTATTTCATGTGATTTCGCCCCCACTTTCAATTCTTTTACTTCAATGAAAGGTTAGAATTTTGCAAATTTTTTGAATGAAAGCTCAAAAGGATAAACAATGCAGATTTATTTTTTACAGCCAGTTTTGGTCATATTTACCAGGGGTGCCATTAATTCTGACCATGACTGTATAACCGAAGATTGTTAATTTAAACATTTCTCGTTCTTAGTGTTTTTTTAGTTAGCTTACATAGTAGCATAGCATACAGCTATCGGATGATTGTGCTAGCTGAGGTTTACCTGAGCTTATACTGCCTTACTGTATTCACAGTGATTCGAAATGCAATCACAATTATGTCATTATTTTTATCGCAATAATCATATGTCATAATCATGATCATAATCAATATGATGTACAAATTTTGTTATTAAAAGAACCATGTAATAGTGTTAAGTTGTGTTTATTAACAGCGAGAACAGATTTAGATCAGGCGTACAACTGGCATACTAATGGGGTCCTTAGCTCGGACTCAACACTTCAGTCAAACCCAATACTTCACCACACCGGAAGTCATTAATTTCCAATGGAGAGTTGTACCAGAGAATGTCTGTACGGGAGCTGCGTGGAGTTCTACACACTAAAGTTTCTATGAGATGTGAAAAACTTATTGACAAAGGAGAATCACCCAAAATTAACGTTCAGTATACAGAATTAAATGGTTAATATAAACAAACATTTATAGACCAAACAACTGTTAACATAACTAAACAAGTAAAAGTGACTAAATAAAACAAAAAGCAAGCTGTAAATAATTATAGCAATTCTACATTACAGTGAGTGCTGCCACATCACAGTTATTTGCAGTCATTAACAAAAAGTATTCAGACTTCATAATAATATATAGGAGTGCACTTTTAACTGTAAATTGTATTAATAATTTCCAAAGATTCTACATGTAGGGTGTCGGTGTAGGGAATGGGATGGAAACATTATGCCAGTTTGTTATGCAACTGACTACTATAGAAACCAGTAATTCATGAAAATATGAACAATGTAGAAGAACAAACTCTTTTGCCATTTTTACAAATGTTTAGTGGGTTCTAAATGTAAAAGACTAATTTTAGATTGACTGTACTGTATTTGTTCTTTCTCTCTCACACAGCAAAAATATCTAATGTCAGGCTTATTGGTCCAGAAGAATTATTAATAGAGGGAAACTCATCTGCTAGCATCACCTCTGAGGGAACTGGCAACATCACCTCTGTGCAGTGGATGAAAGATAACAGTCCTCTGTCTCCTAGCAACCGCATCATCTTCTCACCTGATAACACATCAGTGTCCATCAGTCCAGTGCAGAGATCAGACAGTGGGGAATATCAGTGTACTTATAGAAACCCTGTCAGCTCTGGGACGGCAAAACTCCCCCTGATCATCAACTGTGAGTGTTAAACATTTAAAGATCAAGATGATTTGAGCTCAAACCTGATGAAATATGGACATACTTCAGTGCTCAGTTTGTCCCTCTGACAGTAAGTCTCTTGTGTTTGTTCTAGATGGACCAGAAGATGTTTCTATTAAGGGTCTGGATGTGGTGGATTTAGGGGTCTCTGTGTCTCTGTCTTGCTCTGCAAATTCTGTACCTTCTGCCTCCTTCAGCTGGAAGATTAATGGAACAGACACCAGTGTGACCACAGACACTTTCACCATAGAGAAGACTGACCACACACACAGTGGAGATTACGAATGCACTGCCTGGAATAGTGTCACAAAGAGAAGTGCTTTACAAAGACATGCTTTACTAGTTAAAGGTAAAAAGTAACCTGAAATGTGTTGTCACTTTTTAATAACCATTGTTTTGATCTTAATTTACATACAATATACCTGTTATATTTTGAAAAAATGTATGTTTAAAAAATAATAATAGGTACTTTTTTTGGAGCTGGGCGATTTTTTTCCTTGCGATCTGCGATTTTTAAAAAAAAAAAAAAAAACTCGATTTACGATTCGACCACCCTCATTATCTATGGGCTTCTCCCTTGACGGGACGTCCCCCCGATTGCCTGCGAGCTTCTCCTCCTGTCTGTACGGTAATTTCTGTACAGCGCGACAGAGAGTCGAGTGGTTATGATGCAATCGTTAGCCTATTTTTACAAAAACTGTTTCTACGGGGCCATAATGTAACATAGAAGGTAATGGAGCCCTTTATACATTGTCGTGTTTCTTTAGAAATAAATAATGGATAAATAGAGTCTTTAAACGCCTCAGATGTAAAGTTATTCATTTTCATTCAATAATGAAAATATTATTATCATTATTGTTGATTTTATATGATGCTGAAATAAACTCCTCTCTACAGGCAAGTATGATATGTACGTATGTATGCATGTATGTCAATATATGTGTGTGTATATATATATATATTAAACAATAGATAAACAAAAGATAGAAAATTAAACAAAGATACACATTATACAGGCCTACACAGTGCTTTAATTTCAGGAAGGTCTACTAACATTTTTCAGGTATGGTCTAAAAAGAATTATAATAAAGTAATCAAAAGTAAAACAGCACTGCAAAGTTTATCATAGATAGAGTTATGCTTATTAAAGCTAAAGTTATTCATTCAAGAGCTGTGAGTGATTTTCTCTTTGCCTTTTGTTGTTTGATTCTCAGTAATGGAGCAATCGTCAGCATGTTTATTAGACTGCTTCCCCTTTAAGAACGAGTGCAGATCTAATAGTCTACTGATGTGATGCACCATATTTTCTCCCAACTATTTCCATAACTACGTCCATTTTAGACATAAACTGTTTAAGTGAATCTCCAAGCCGGTCATTTTGACATTTTTGTGTAGGCTACATTTGATCATTTAGACGCGCATATGAAGCCCAAAGTATAATGTGCTTGTCTCGTTGCGGTCTGTTTTGGAACGCGCGCCGCGGGAACAGCATCTCTTGCGCATATTTTTGTGCTTTTAATAGCTCTTTTTATTATTAAAAGCATCCCGCAATTTAGCAACAGGTGAGACTGCATTTTACAACAATCACCGATCATGCTGATGGGCTGTCGTGTTGTGCGCGCTGTGGCACCGCGTGAGAGATCTCTCTCTTTCTCTTCTGGACTGTGAATAGCAAACATGCATCACAGACAAATGGTTTAATTAATACGGCTTTGCAAACATTGCATTTTGCTGTCTTGCTCTGCTGTGGTGTTTCCAGTGTGAAGTATTTCCACCATAGGATTTCCACACAGTGAACATGTTGGCAGCTCAATGCTATCCTGTTAGCTGGCTGCAAACTGCGGAATGGATTTCCTGAGGGAGGGGGGGGGGAGTCTCTGTGTCTCATTGAGCCGTGCCTCCGTTCAGGAAATCCATTCCACAGTTTGCAGCCAGCTAGCAGACTAGCCGGCGGGCCGCGGGAATCACTTTTGGAGTCGTTTCAGCAGACAACGTTAAAGCGCAGACATGGCTCATGGATATCGGATATCTCCGCAGGTTGGATCGGGAAAATCCGATACGTGAATTACGCTGGTATCGGTCCCGATACCGATACTGGATCGGATCGGCCCCATCCCTACTACTTGATCATGAATAACATAAGTGTTTTTATATATAAATAACATTCAGAAACTGTATTTGAAATGAAATTAATAAGGATCAATAAATAAATATTCATACAAAAAACAAGAAATTACGTTTATTGATTATGACTGATATTTGACATGCACAACATGGACCGATGCACACAGCAGCGCTGTTTAGGACGGGTTCGTGTTAAAGAGCTGCTAACAAAGGAATCTTTTTACATAATGTTCTCTCTCTTAAAATGTAAGCGAGTGAAATGTCAGCATTATCATATATGTCTAAAGAATTGAAGTCTGTCAGGTAAAAGAAGAGCTTATTGATGCAGTTCAGTCTGTCTGATATTTTATTCCAACCGTTACTCCTGATCGGAGGCTGCCGTAAATATTTAGTAGGAACGTACAGTTACGTTTAAACTAAGTTTAATGGCGCAACGTAAAAGTATTTAGTAGTGCGTAAGTTGTAACTTAGTGCCCATTTACGTCAAAACTAGGCTAAGTTGTAACTTACGCACAGCTGGTGCAACCGGCCCCGGGAGTGTGCTAACGCTTCAGAATCAAATATCGAGCGGAAGTTTATACGCGGTTGTGAGGTATCTGAAAAAATAGTTCCACTATAGCAAATAACACGGATTGAAAGCATACATTGCGCCGATATATTTGTTTTTAATCATCAACAAACACTAACCACTCGGTGAGTTGCATAGTTTTGAAAACGAACGTTAAGGGTTGTTTTAAGGACATGTTTGAGCATGCCCATAGACAGCCACTCTGAAGCACTCAAGAGGCGATTCTAAAATAGTCAAAAAGTCGAGACAGGACCCATCGTCAACATTTCTAAGTCCACCACTCTAGTTCATCCAAAACAAACTAGAAAATAGACTCAAAGTGTTAAATACCGGAATTATCCTTTAAATTACAATTATTTGCATAAAAATTCTTCTACATAAAATAAATAAAATAGACCCATTAGAAAGACATTAGACAGTACATTTCATATACCTTCATAATGCATGCTTACTCTTGTTTTTTTTGTTTTTTTTTAAATTTTGGTACAAAACGTGTACATAGTTACAGTCATTTTTTTGTGCAGTACATGATCTGTTGTTTATCTTTATCTTAGTAGGTGGAGCAGGAGGAGGAGGAGGACTGACAACAGGAGCGATAGTTGGGATTGTCATTGGAGTTTTAGTGGCAGTCGCAGGCATTTGTGGTCTGATTGTCTATTTAATAAAAAACAAGAAAATGTGAGTAAAACAATCCGTTTCTGAATTATGTGCAATTACATTGCATTTCCCTAAAATATGTCAATATCTATGCAGGTCCGGTTGTACAGGGGTGGTAGTGGGTGCTAAGCACCCTTAATTAAACGTAAGAGCACCCTCAGTTAAAACTATTATAATAGCATATTAAAAACTCAGAAGGACACAGAATGCATCTTTGTGAGAACTGAGAAGTGCTGTGATCTTGTTGCTCAACTGACCATACCAGCATATTACAAGTTGCAGGAAATCATTGTCCAAAGCACAATAAATATCACATAACATCACAGATGGCATAACCTATTAAAACATTGCTTGAGTGAGAAGAGAAGTTTAAAGTTTTCAGGCTTCTACACGTTGTCCGCCTGCAATGACTCCTGGTATTTCTAATTGTTGCATCCTTGATATTAAGAACACAGCCGGGTACTTTCATGCGTTATTTGTTGTTCATTTACACGACAACAGCGTTTTGGGGTCCTGAAAATACGAACTTGGGCTTCAAAATGCCCGTTTTTTAAAACTATACCGTTATCGTTTCTGTGTAAACTACAAAAATGTGATGCACATGCATATACATGTTCAGTCTATTAGTGCATAGTGTTTCTTTACAAAGTGATATCGCCAACTACTGACCTGGCAGCAGAATACAGCATTTTTTTTATCAAGATGGCCTGTGAACAGGGATCATTTTGACAAGGTTGTCCTCTGTATGTGAAAAACACAAAGGAAAAACTTTTCCATTTTTTTGTACACCGTTGTCGTGTAAATGTACCTTAATTTTTCATGGTCTGTATATGCCTGTTTTCGAATCATTCATTAGTTGTCATGGTTTCAGATTAGTCCACCTGTTCCCTGTTCTGTTGATGATCTTTCTTTGTGTATTTAAGCCTTGAGTTCTCCTCTGTTCATTGTCTCTAATTGAAGTTACGTTAGTTGTGTATGCTATCGCTCTTTGTGTTTATTAAAAGTGTCTATTTCTTGATTGTTCTGCGTCACGCATCTTTCTTGGGATTTAACTACACGGCAACCCATGATAGCGAATGAGAATCCTGTAATTGTATTGGTTTAGTAACCAACTACTGAAATTTTGGTATTGGTATTTTGACTGATAAAACACTAATTTGTTATACAAAGTCTGTAACACATGGCCTCATAATATTTTTTAAATGCTGTTGTATAATTATTTATAAAAGTACTGACTTGTAAATCTCCCACTGAACCTCACTATTTTTGTTATGTTGGTACGTAGGAGCTGTTTCTTACACATTACATGATTACTTTAGAGTATAGCCTCACTAATTTCAGAAGCACCCTCAGTGATTTAATTCTGAAACCGGGCCTGTATTTATCTGATAATAAAATGATTTTAGCAAACCAACTGTTTATTTTAAACAATTGCTTATTTGTGAGACAAAAATGTAGTAAAGCTAAACAACTAGTTGTAACAAAATGTATTTCTCTTTACACTACAGCCCAAATCTAACGCTTCTCAAAAATGGACGAGCAAGTGGAGGTATGTTTGTTAATTATTCATAATTTCAACACAAGTTCTGATTGAAGCAACACTACTGACTTCACCAATTATAGCAAGATTGATCATGATACTGTCGATCCCATAACAGATTTCAGATGATCTATTCATATTACAGATGATTCAGAAAATTATGATTCAGAACACATTTCTCTCAGTATGAAACTTATTGAATGTTTCTTTCTTTAAGCAGCAGCAGCAGCACAAAGCAGACAAGAGCCTGTGAGTGACTTTCAATTTTTGTTCATCACAACCATTTTTACCTTTTATTTTCTGAATACCTGATTTAAAACTAAATCTGATGTGAAATGGCACATTACAAACACTTAAAGGTGTTTTTCAGTGGTGTAGTAACTGATATTCACTTGTTCTGCCTCTTCTGTCTCTTGACCCTTTTATCTCATAGAGGTAATTAAAGAGTTTATGGCTTTTACAGGAAGGATGAGTGTATTGCTTTCAGAAATGACTGCAATGAGCTGTGGATATTGGCATATATTCAGTCATTTTGATTATCATGATAATTACCACTGTTTAATAATGACACTTCTTTTTCACCATTTACATATCAGCAACAAGAACATTTTTTATCTAAATTGACATCATCATTGTGTATAAATTTGTAATTTAACAAAAATAATTGACTATTTGTAGGAATTGAACTATGCAGACATCAGCCATTTTCAGAAGGCTGGTGGAGGGAGAGTGATTCTGGGGAATAGAAGTGAGCCTAGTACAGAGTATGCAGAAGTAAAACGTGGAGCCAAGTCAAAGGCTCCTCCACCTCCCTATGGAAGTCAGGTGAGCAGTTTCATATAATAAATGTAGCCCATCCCGTTGTAGAACACCATATGTGTACTTTAGCTGCAATAAAACTGTAATGCATAATAAAACAAGTGCTATTTATTCTGTCCTGCAGCCATGCAGTAAAACAATAAGGAAGTCATTTTGGTTGCTTTCTTTTATCATATGCTTGTGTAACATCTCCCTTCAGGTATCAAACTCTCCTTTGCGCAGGTGAGGAAGTGAAGACACTGAAATCTACTGCACTGAGTCTTCCACATATTGCACATTTACCACATTGTTTTATTTCTTTAATTTAGCTTTATTTTGCTGAATGTTGCTGTGTAAGTTAAATGTATAAAAATTGTATAGTTTTGAATGCAAGATGGCCTGTCAGGCTGTGTAATTGTTTTATTTTAATAATTATGATAGGGGAGACAGGGGAGGGCGCTAACACTTTTTGCTTCAACATCTGTTGATCAGGGCTATTTTAAATTTTGATACAATGTTCCCAGATTTATCTGATACGAATTGATGTTGTTTAAAAATTTACAACTTGTTTTGAAATCTCTCTATTGTGAAAAATAATGTCACATTCAAAATGACATTACAACATACTACTGGAGTGAATTGTAACAGGATACGTGGGGTGCAACGTTATAGAGAAAGCATGTATATCTGTTCAAATTTTGCACATGCATTTATTTATTTTCATTCAAATGAACTGAAATAAATGACTGAACACATACATAAAACATGGTCTTTCACAGTTGTCAAATATCAGCTTATACAATGTCCTATTCTGTACAACCCTTCCCAGCTCAGAGATGACAGTTCCAGTCAAACAAGAAGCTGCGGATTCAGATGAAACATGTTCTGTCTATTAACATACAGTACATAAACCTTATCGCAAAACAAATTATGAAGTGAAGTGTTGATTTTTCTATCTCAAATTTATCTTCAATTTTTACACAGAGACTTACAACTTTTACTGTCACCTCAATAGGATGGTGGCCATGTATGATTTCATCCCTGTACGTAATTTGATTAAACTGACTGTATTACAACTCAGTCCTTGTTACAACCATCCCCGGTCTCCCACAGCAAGCCTTTATATAGCATATGACTGAACATCATATAAAATATCCACTGTTTGCATAATATGCACCCCCAGTGCCTTTTAATTATAACTTGTGATTCACACTTGATAATGTTCTAGATCAGAGGACTGTGCTCTGCTAATGTGTAGATTATTACTCTTATCTAAACCGTCTATTCACATTCTTCCTCTAAATGTTTTATATTTATAGGCTAATCTTTAGCTACCACACCAAAGTTTCTCAGAAACCATCAGATACATCCTCATTCTTTCTTTCTTGTACTGGGCAAATAAAAGAACTGTGATAGTGGGTTATTAAAACAGAGGCTTCGTGACTAAATTCACCTTTAGACCTGAACACAATGTCACACAGGGAAAAGAAATGAGGAGGCAACATTTTATTCTTGTCATAAACAGTATAAGCTTTGGTAAAAAAAAATAATATATATATATATATATATATGGCTGTTATTTCTATGGCAGTTTTATTGTCTGATTGCTTAACTTGTTCATTATCTTTACCAAAGAATGTGATATAACTAATGTTTGTTATTTATAATTTATGTAAACTTCAATGACATTTGACAGAGGAATTTAATTTGCTTCAAATAAAGAGTTCATTTTTTGCTCATTCTACCTTTTGGTTCTGGGTTTCAGCTCTTTTGTATATTTATAAGGTCACATACTTTATTTTCCCCTCATGGTGTAATAACAGAACCACAACTGATAGTGATTTATCAAGGCAGATGTAATGAGTTAAACTTTAACTTTGATTGTGTGTGTTTATGTTGACGAGTGACCTAAAAAGTATCATGGATGAATTCTGACCAATATACAAGGTATATTGTATGCCTTATTCATGCATAATGTTATTTCAGTAATAAACTTAAGTTAAAACATTTTTTTACATGAGTCTTGTTCTCATGTCATACTCAAAAAGAAATGGCAAGATATATTAAGAAGGTCGTTTTCACATTAATATATTAACATATTGTGAAAGGTCTTCTAATTCTTTAATATCAGTTAAAATGACATGCATGTGCACTGACTTGACATTTGTTTCTTCGTCCTTTTTTCCCCTGAGAAATATGTTGAAGCATTTCCTTTCTTGCCTGTAACTCTCAACTGTAGTGATATGACAGAACTCTTTATTTCTAAATTCATTGCTAGCTTTTACAGAAGTTAAATGTTGTGTAACTGTTCTTAATACGAAACATACAGTAAATACAGATGAACAACTCTGTAGTTATATTATTATATTATGGTGGTTATTACCATGTTCCTGTAAAACAAACTGTATTTGATAGGGTACTGTTTTACAGCCTGCTTGATAATAATCCGAAGTCATTATATAACAGTCCCCATGAAATGAGGACGATGGGTACACAAATACTAATTGTTTAGACATGCAATTTTAGCATACGTGCCTTGTGATCATTATGAAACTTTAGAAATAACTGCACAGTATGCAGTCAAGTTACTTTCTAATGAAATGTCTGAACTTCCTGATGAAATTGTGGCCACTAGCAAAACATGCTTCACTAAAAATCTTTTCCTGGATGAAAATCTTTGACACCTAGACTTTCATTGCTTTGAATCAGTGAGTAGATCGGCTTTCAGGTCTCCACACTAATAGTTCAGAGCTGCAGACCTGCAAGGACAAATTAACCACTGCTGCCACCTGTTGTTTATGAAGTGAGAAATACCACAACAACATTTTCTGTTACCCAATGTTATTGATCATTGGGCTCAATTCCAGCCATATTAATGTAAAAAACAAAAAGTTGCTTGTCTGGGATCTGGGAAGTGTGGTGCCATCATCAGTTTTGCCTTTAGAGGGCACTATTGAATAATGGTATTTTTGGAGGACTCAGTATACAACTGTTTAACTTACTGAATCGAAACAACTTTCATAACTATCATGTGTCAATCCCATCCTATGTTTCCCCACAGGATAGGCTATAGCAACAGAATTTTTCTCAAGAGCCCCAATTTTGAGAAATCAGATTAAATTTGATAACTAGCCTTTAAGAAGTAGGCCTTAGGAATAAGAATTGTTGAAGCTTTTAAACAGATAAAATAATACGTGGACATAAAAAAATTATTTGATTTTAAGTTATTTGTTTTTATATTGCCCATATAGGCTAGGCCATACATTAGGCTATCTGTAGGCCTATAAAAACGTACATTAAAGGAGACAAATAAAGACCTTTTACGAAGTCGTGATTTTGTTTTTGGGCTAGAATATGTTTTCATACTTGACTGTTAAAAAAAAACATTATTTTTCACATATTTTACAATTTTAGAGCTTCTCTCTCCCCAGTCTGGCTCAACCCAGAACCATATAGAGCTCTGGCTTAAACACGCTGATTTCGATGAAGCCCCTCCTTTCGAAATACCAAATGTGCTGTGACTGGTTAGCTGGCCCAGTTTGTTGTTATAATTTGCAGTTTAGCGCGTATTCGAGAAATGTCTCTCCCCTCCATAACTGCGAGTTCTTCTCTGGTGTAAATATTAATGATGGCGTGGCGTCAATTTCAAACCAATTCGAGCTGATTCAGACCCTGACAATGTTAACGAACAAGAGGATCTTGCAGAACGGATTTTATGCACAGACTTTGCAAGCACAGACTTCACGGGATATTTCAGAGTGATGTTTTTTGTAATTGTTTATAGGCTACATTATTAATACGATCCACCATTTAATCGTGATATTTGTTGGAAAACTATAATACAGTAACAGACCGTAATCGATCACTAAACCATGGTTAATTTTCCTAAGGAGCGGTGAACCTTCTTACAAAAGCGAGATCTTACAGAAGTAGCCTTGTAAACATATTCTCCATAAAATGTGCAGCACACAGATAAACGTTTGGGTTTTAATGTTCAGGAACAGTGTTTAAAATAAATTTAGCCTTACAAATGAGTTTTGGAAACTGGGTGGACAAAACAGTATCTCTTTGACATAACGACAGCAATGTCTTCTCTATGCAGCTCAACCAGGCCTCATCCCCTTTTTTGCATATTCTGTGGGCAGAGATTATTTAAATGAGGATTATGACTTCATAAAATCCGGAAAAATCGCGTTGTAGTCCATGCGAGCCTTTCATTGTAGGTCTTAAAAAGGGGATTCTGTTAAAATATCTCCCTTTGGAGTGGACTTTAAGTTTTGTAACCTTGCATATATTTTTTATGCTCAAACAGCTACGTTACGCACTTAATAAAACACTTTACAACATTTAGGAAAATCGGCCTAACAACAAGACGAACATTTCAACAATGTTCCATCTACTGAAAACTGAAGCCTATATGATTCTCACTATAATAACCCAGGCGCAAGATGGCGCCAGTTGCGATTGTATGAAACAAGGGAGCGCGCGTGTAATACAGACTGCACCGGTTTCAGCCATATACATACCGGTATCTATGGTTTCAGCTACCTCGATGATAAGTGGTCCAATCAGAATCGAGCATTCCAGAGAGCCATGTAGTATAATATACTCGTCCAGCCTTGAGTGAGTTAGCGTTGTTGCGGTGTTTGCATTACAGAACAAACCTTTTATTTATAGGCATAGAGCATTTGAAATGTTAGAGTGTCTCTCCTACGGTACAGATAAATAGAATCAACAGATGCCTTTGTCTCAAATGATGTCTTGCGATATAAATGCAAACATAAGTAGACAAATATTTCCAGACAATGTTGTTCATTACAGCATTAAAGGTAAGGCTGGTCCAACCCAGCTTAAAAAAAACAGGCTTTGGTATTATTTGTTCTTAGATCACTTATTGAAGATAGAATTGTCCCTCTTTGGATATCATTTTACTGACTTTGTTTACTGACTTTGTGGTTACCACACAATAAGGGTGCAGCATACTATTTACTGGTTATCTGTGAGAAGGTTTACAGATTGATTTATTAGAAACCGGCCTTGAAGACTTTAAAAGAATAGTTCATCCAAAAATTTAAATACTGTCATCATAACTTTATCATCATGTCGTTTAAAACCTGTATGACTGCCTAATTTTCACTGTCTATATTTTTATTATCATGCAAATATGTCAGTAACTTATGTCAATATTTTCTTAGCTTATTCATTACACCATTCACAAATCATATAGCTAAATCTCTGATTCTCATTTTAACTGTGGTTTACTGAAATAAAAACAAGAGAAAACACAAGAACATCAAGGTGCACATACAAGAGAAACTCAGATCTGTTTGCTCAAGGTGAGTAGCAGGAGGGGTTGCAGACAAAAATAATTTTGAACAATTAAAGCACTGTGACACAAATATTTAAATAGATTCTCTACCATTTTACAATCGAAACGGCAGTTAGGGTTGGGAACCGAGAACCAGTTCTTATTCCTTAAACACTTTTACAACTACTCTTTTAAAGAAAATATTTCATTCTTCAACAAAAGATTCTACTACATTAACATAAATCTGTGGGGTTTATGCCTAAAACAAGAAAAAATGCTTTATACTGAATAATAAAGTGCTTATGCACTCTTTAGAGGTATAGGTGTTCCTTTGGAGAGCATTGCCCCATGCAGCAACAAGCTGTAGTACCCCATAAACTTACTTCTTTCTGAGATTGTGGTGCTGCTAACATCTGAATAGTGTAAGATGGGGGAAGATTCCACATTGTGTAGCTACTTTTAAATTGTTATATATTTAGATATAGCTACTGTAAGTTCATCACTACTGGCGTAAGATGGCCTCCTATCATGGGCAAGTCTTTGAGCAGTCTTTGTCATTGTCTAAATCTTCTAATTTGATCTTTTCACTTCACAATAAAAACTTACATTTTTAAATAATTCAAATCTATAAACATTAATGTGTCCACAAATCCCTTTAAAAAAAACTTTTGTGTTCAAAATAATAAAATGTCATAGATCACTATTTTCCAGAGACAAAATTGATCAGTTAACCTCAAAATTGTTTTGACTGAATAAATGTTGATATTCAGAAGAAATTAAAAAATTAGCGTAGCCATTCATCATGAGTGATGACTGAATTGAGAATGTTTGACTTCTGTGGTCAAGAGAAAAAATGAAGGTCATCTTGCCCTGGGGAACACCTTACCCTGTCTTATACCCTATAGGCTATGTTAAATATGTACTATAAACAAATGATGTGGTACAGTATCTGGGGGTATATTTACATATAAATATGATTTGAAATAAATATGAGTTGTCTTTTGATGGTATTTCCAAAGACTGATTGAGGATTAATAGGATCGCACTAGAGGAGTGTCCCCTCACATCAAGGGGGTCCTTGGTCCAAGTCCTAACTGAGCCAGAAGATCTTTCTGAGTGGAGTTTGCTCCACGTGTTCTCCTCGTGTTAATGTGGGTTTGCTCTGGTTTAACCCACAATCCAAAGACATGAAGGTTAAGAGAATTGGAGACTGTCAAATGTCCTTAGATGTGAGTGAAGGTATGAATGTGTGTCATTCCTGTGACTGTCCATCTCTCCAGGGGTTTCCCTGCCTACGTCCCGAGACGCTGGGATAGACTTCAGCATCCCTGTCACCCTGGGACAAGAGAATGAATGGATATCTTACACCAGTACTCATGATTTGCATGTCCAATTTTTTATTTTTTATGTTTGATTATTATAGGCTCTGATCAAATGCATCATCTAAAAAGTTTTATTCTTATTAAAGTGTCTTATTAAGCCTTATTAAAGTTGTATTCTTATTCAACTTTATGAGAATCATTCTTGGGCGTGTCAGTGCTGAACTTGAAAGTCAGCCGAAAAGCCAATCGCAAAACAAACAGTGATTCATGATTTTTCACTATTTTTACTGCACAAAAACTCATGTCAGTGTGAAGTAATCTTTTAGAACGCAAACAAAATGTTGTAATGTTAAACATAGCTTTTCAATGACATCAAACCTCTGTTCGGTTTACATCCTGCACTTGAGATAGAAGTTTAATATATTATGAAAACATACTGTAAATACTCAGACCTTGAAACCAGGAGTGACAACAACGTTGGAAGGTGCGAATGAAAACAGCAAACTTGAATTGTCATCATGAGTCTCTCCATGTTAATATCAACTCTTAGTGTTGATAGTCCACAATTTTTAATAACTACAAATCTTTTCCTACCACACCAGGAAATATTTAAATACATATGGCTTGACCTTCGATTTGTGACTTGAATGTCAGCTGGGTACCAGCAGTCTGATTCCAGATTACAGTCAACCACAACAAACACCGTCACTCAAAATGCATGTGTGTGATGATGACAAGGGGTGTACCTTTTTGTCACATGCTTTCTCATTGGAGAACCTAGTCATTGATATAACAAGGTAAACATTGGTAGAATGAAAGTATAATGGTGATTACTGAATTTAGTTTCAGACTCATTTGAAATCCGTGGAAGAAGCAAAGTATTTTCTAGTTAGGATTTCCAAAATGGGACATCAATTACTTGCCTTCTACTTCCTCACCTTAATCTGTATTCCAGGTATTTATTCAATTGTATTTTCATTTTCAATTGAGTTCTAATTTCTTTTTTTTATGAACAATGCAGAAAGGAGATCATTTGTTACTGTAAATGTACCAGTTTTACAAATTTACCAAACATTGTGTTTGACAGCAGGTAACTTTCAAAGTTTTTTTAATTAAATCTGTATTTTACTTAAAAAAAATAAAAAAATCATTAGTAATCTTCAAATTCTGTATAAAAGGAAGGTCAATTTTAAGAAATTATCAGTAGTATTTTGTAACAAATAACTTTTTAAATTACATTTATATATATTTTGGTAACACTTTACAATATGGCCTCATTTGTTAACATTGGTTACTGCATTAACTAATCAACTAACAACGAACAAAATATTTTGGCAGCATTTATTAGCCTTTGTTAATGTTGGTGTTCATGTTTATGTTCGTGTTAGCTCACAGTGCATTAACTCATTTTTACAGCTTTCAATCTTAAATATGTATTAGTAAATGCTGAGCTTAACAAGAACTAACAACAAACCATACTTCTAATGCGTTTATTAATCTTAGTTGATGTTAACTAATGTAGTTAACTAATGTTAACAAATAAAACCTTATTGTAAGATGTTTCCTTTACTTTCAAAAACTTGAAGTGTGAAATTCTGTTATAGTGTAGTGCTGAATATTCAACTTTTCTCAGGTTCTTCTGACTATAATTAGTATTACAAGAAATATATATTTGTATATTTGAAGAAATGTACATTTGTGGATACAGTGACATTATCCCCAAAATGCCAGAATCAAGTATTAGATTAAAGTGCCCAGATTACACATAAACAGAAAATGAATTACATTAGCAATAGCAATGCTTAATTAGAGGGTGATCCACATAATAATTACATATTAAATATGCTGTTCATTACACTTTATAGTGCCTATTAGACTTGTAGTCGAGACCGCCTAAACCGAGACCAAGACACTACCAAGACCAGATGGTATCGAGACCAAGACAAGACCAAGACCAAGACCAAGACAGACCAAGTCGAGACCAAGACCAAGTCGAGACTAAGACCGAGACCAAGTCGAGACCGGAGGGGAAAAAAACATTAGTGTTGAAACTAAGCAATAACTTGTCAAATGTTGTTTTGCATTTGCCTGCCTATCTCTGCTGATTTCGAAGTCTCCAAATGAATCCATTCTGCAACTTTTAAATACATAATTATATTTTTAAAAACGAAATTATAGGCTTAAGTGCAGGATCCGAAAGTTGGTCGTTTTTGTCGCTATGGTTACACACACACACACACACACCGTTGGCGGTGCACTCAAAGTCATCTGTCAGTTGTGCAGTTACCCAAAATCTCCTGAATGAAGGTAAAACCCATCATGTCACTGATATGTGTTTTACTAAATATTAATATATCAAAAACTGTACATGATATGTGTTTTTTAAATCAAGTGATCAAAGTGCTCGTTGCCGCTGCGATCAGTGGCGCGGATACAGTGTTTTCTCGCGTGGCTCGCGCGCACCGCACTGTCTTCACTCGGACGCGCGCTTCAATCCGTTGCGGATATCGTCGTGGATATTCTAGTATTGTATTGCTCAATCCCCTGACCACTATGTCGGTCTGAGACAGCAAGACCTAGACAAGACCGAGAGGTCCGAGACCAAGACAAGACCGAGACCAAAGACCGTCAAGGCCGTGACAAGACCGAGACCACGTAAAAGTGGTCTCGAGACCGGTCTCGAGACCAAGACCGGTCTCGAGACATACATCACTAGTGCCTATGTGTTCTTTTTACTTCTACAAGCTAGAACATACTAAATATAAAAACCACAACTATGGAAACAAGCAACGAATATGCAAAGGCTACATGTAAATCAGTAGACTTATTTCCATCACAATACAATGAGAGTTGAATATTTTCTTACTTTATATTAATGTTTTCTGAATGTTTTCTATGTTTAAAATGATACTGACTCTCCTGCCTCTCCTAGGTCTTTGTGCAGTGACCCTGGTTCCATCACAAAACCCTGTGGCGGTCGGGAGCAATGTCACCATAAGTTTGAAGGACCCCATCAACATTATAGTTGGGAACTGGTTGTTTAGGTCTAGTACATTGTTCATATGGGTAAATCAAGACATTTACCCGGGTAGTAGCCACCAAGCTGGAATAGATTTAAACATCACTACATATCAGCTCACCTTATTGTCAGTAACTCTGAATAGCTCCGGCATGTATGTATTGGAGGCCTTGAGTCCAAACAGGACCAGAGCAGATATTACATTAGATGTTCAGGGTAAGTTGAATAAAGACCCTCTTACCTATACACACTGTTAAACTAAGATATTCACAGAACTTGTATTTAGCGAATTTATGCCAAGATTTTTTTATTGTATCAGCTGCCTACACATAAAGAAAAAAAAATAAGAAAAAAAGAAGAATAAGAAAGGATTACCTTAATTAAGCTATAGAATTTGATGTTTTTTAAGTTCATTCAGTGAAGTTAAATGATATTTTTTTTATCTTGAATAAAAACAATTAATTTAGATGTTACCACATAAAGCAAATATTTAAATTGATCTAAATAAGAAGATTTCTTGTATCAAATGTTTCTTAAATTCTATGCAAAAAGAAAACAATGTATTTTATTGGCCTGATAATCTGTGTCCACAGTTTTATAGACTGTTCCTTCAATGCGACCACTGATTCGTTTAACATTCAAAACATCAGTTTAACGGACACTGAAATTTCACATAAATATTCATGATGGAATAATATATAAAAACATTGCAAACCAAAACAACAGACAGAAAAAAAAAGAATAGAATAATTAAGTAAATCTTTGGCTATTTTACCAGAATTATCTACTACATATAAAGATTATTTGCTTTACATTGTACACACATTTCAAAACAAACATTTGTGCACACAGTTCAACATACTTTTAGCTACTTACGCACTTACAAACACTTACACTCCCTGCTAAAAATTATATTGCGTAATATTTGCCATTCATGCCCTTTAAATACAAAAAAACTTGTTTATAACATTAGCCTATACTATACCAACATGAACCTGTAAGCTTAGATAACAGCATGATGTCTGATGACAGCAATGGTTTACATGTAGGCTACTCTGCAATGAATAAGTCGGTGAACTACAGATGATTTTGTTGAGGGGATGCAGATAAAAGAATGGATTGATGATGGGAAAAGTAACAGTCTACTATACATTGGTAGATAATAGGTATGCTTTGAGCTTGCAGAAACTCTTATACTAAAACATTTTCTGCTAACTTGTAGAACCTGTCAGTAATGTTACTGCAGATGTAAGCAAGACAAACCTGGTGGAGTATAACGACACCGTGACGTTCACATGCAACGCCAGAGGCACGCCACTGTGGTTTTCATGGCAGAACGGCAGCTCTGCAGTCACAGCGGGAGAAAGAGTTCAGCTCAGCAACAATGGACGAAATCTCGTCATCAGTGGTGTGACGCGGTACGACGAAGGTCCCTTCAAGTGTGTTGTGGTAAACAACATCAGCAATGGAGAGAGTATTCAAATTAATCTCACTATAAGCTGTGAGTATAACAGCACAAAGTGTTGATTTCACTACATATTACTTCAAAGGGCATTGTGAAGGAGGGGCAGCTGACAATAACATGTTTCAAAAGCTCAATCTGAATTGGTTTTATGTGTTTAGATGGGCCTAGTAACCAGAGAATAACAGCCTCGCCAGACAACATGGCATTCACTTCTGGTTCGGCCATTTCTCTGTCATGCTCTGTTGAGTCCAAACCAGCAGCTTCTTTCTACTGGACATACAACGGCAATCCTCTGAATGTCTATAGTTCGAGTTATAATCTTAGAGACACTACTGAGAACATGACTGGACTGTACACCTGCGTTGCCCAAAATGAAGTCACGCTCAGATCTGCTGCAGTGACAAAAACTATTCGTATAGTTGGTGAGAACACTCTCGAAATATGGTTGTCTACATTTCTTATGCTTGATCTTGTGATCTTTTTATCACCAATACATTGTTGTTTGTTTATTTAGACCCAATATCAGCAGTGGCAGTGAATCCATCAGGCTCTTCAATAGAACACATGCCTTTTAATCTAAGCTGTAATGTTGTGGGGCCAGTGGACTCCATTCAGTGGATGAAGAACGGCATGTACCTGTACGCCGACAATACGACCACTTTTTTCAATGGCAACTCAACCTTGAGCTTCAAAAAACTCGCTCTTAGTGATGACGGACTGTACCAGTGTGCCGCTAGTAATGCTGTCAGCAACATTAGCATCCAGGCCTACCTTACGGTCAACTGTGAGTAGGATAGATATTTCCAGAACATCTTTGTTTCCTAAACTTGATATTGTATGAATTCTAAGAATTGCTCAAATCTTTGTGTACTTTATTGTTAGTTATGTGTATTACAATGTTAAAAATAGTGCATTATATCTTGAAACAGAAAGTTAACACAATTCATGTATTTACTAGATGGCCCAATCAACACTACAGCCTCTGGTCCAGATGTAGCCATGGTGGGATCCAACGTGACATTCAGCTGTTCCTCTGTCTCTCGTCCTCAAAGTCAATACAGCTGGTATTTCAGTGGCTCAAAAGTAGCAGATGGCCCAGTGTATGTAACTGCAGCTCTCAATAAAAACCATAGTGGACAGTACACCTGCATGGCCTTCAATAACATCACAGGCAGGAGCAGCAACGCCTCAGTGCAGTTAACTGTAATAGGTAGGTCTTTTTGTGTCCTGTCAGGATCTTTTTTAACCCAATTGTTGTTGTTGTTTTACATATGTAAAGAGATCATTTGAAAACTTGTGCACATTTTGCTTACATAATATAGAAATTCTCTCCACTCATTTATTTTGGAAATCAGACTACACTGGTTGTACTGTATATTTTTGATTCCCTAAAAATTACTGATTCATACAAGTCATTTGATCAAGCTACACCAGTCGTACTGTACTGAGTCATTCAATTCAGTACTTTGCTTAACTGAAACTAGCAAATGTGTTTGTTCTAAAGTGTGTTTTTAAAAACTGAAATGGTTGGAAATGTGGTTTATATATATATATATATATATTATTTTTTTTCTTGGTATGAAATTTAGCTCCTGTCACCAATGTTATGGTGAATATGGACAATCAGCAACCAATCTTCAACCAACCATTCACACTAACCTGCACTGCCAGTGGAGATGTTGAGCACATTCAGTGGATGAAGAACGGCATGTTCCTGTATCCTGAAAATGGAATCACTTTCTCCAATGACAATTCCACCTTGAGATTCCAAAATCTCTCTCTCAATGATGATGGACATTATCAGTGTGAAGCAAGTAACGCTGTCAGCAACTCGACCAGCCACGCCTATGACCTGATGGTCAACTGTGAGTAACACAGATATATTAGTAACATGTCCATTTGAATCATTGTTCATGGGAATAATTTTCAATGTAAATGGCATCTTTCAGATGGTCCATGGAACCAGACAGTCGAAGGCCCTATCATTGCAGCGATTGGGTCCAATGTGACCTTTAACTGTACTGCAGTCTCTCGTCCTCAAAGTCAATACAGCTGGTTCCACAATAGTTCAAAAGTGGGAGATGGCCCAGTGTATGTGACTGCAGCTCTCTCACTAAGTGTCAGCGGACAATACACCTGCATGACTGTCAATAACATCACAGGCAGCAGCAGCAACGCCTCAGTGCAGTTAACCTTAAAATGTAAGTTGTTAGGCCTTCAAATAATGTAGGCTTTTTAATACTTTATCAGTTCTGTTGCTTAACAGGCAGGTAAGTACATCTGTTGAGTTATTATATCAACTTAACTTTGCAATTTTTAAGTAAGAATTTTCTATGAATGTGCAAGACTTCTGGTTCATTATCCGCTAGGTAAATAACTTGAAGAATAACAGCGCAGTAAATGGTAAAACTATTTGCCAGTGTGTTTATGATTATGATAATAAATAAAAACAATAATATAACAAATACCAGTTCGCAGTATCAAGCAGCATTACAGACTGTACTTGTACAGCTAAAATAACTGGAAGCAGCTTCACACATACGTTGATTTCACGCAGCTGCCATTTTGAAATGGCTCCGGTGGGAAGAAAACCGGAAGTGTCGCCTTTAATCATAGGAGAGTCGCGAATGCGATGGCATATTGTTGTGTTTAATGTAGAAATTAGTTATTCAAAAAATGTACATACATTTCTTTCATACTTTAGACTATATACAGTGAAATTCACTTATAAATAAACTTTTTTTATATATATATATATATAATTCAGAACGTAAAAAAAGAAGCAGGAACGAACTGTATACATATCCTATATTGGATATTAACATCCAATAGTGTAAATCGCAGCAGCAGATTCAGGTTGGTAGTCCAAGGCACTGTTGTCTATCTGTACTTCCGGGGTTCTTCCCACCAGAGCCTCGCTTTTGATTTCAAAATGGCAGCTGCGTGAAATCAGCGTATTCAAGTTACAAATGACCGCTACGCTCTTATAAAAAAAAAAAAGGTGGATAGAGTGATAAGGAAAGGTCCAGAATTACTTAAAAGAGATAGTTCACCAAAAATGGAGAATTCTGTCATCATTTACTCTCATAGTCCAAACAGGTATGACTTCTTTTCTTCTCTGCAACAATAAAATAAGGTATTTTGAAGAATGTTCCAGCTGTTTTAGTCTGTACAATGAAAGTCAATGGAGTTCTAAACGACACTGGACCACATTGACTTTCAGTGTAGCGACAAAAAACATTGAGAATTACTTCAAAATATCTTGTATTGTGCTCTACAGAATAAAGAAATGCATACTGTATGTTTGGAACAACATGAGGGTGAGTAAATGATGACAGATTTTTTCATTTTTGGGTGAACTATCCATTTATGTCATCTGCCAAAAATCTTTGTCTAAATTTCAGATCCAGTCAGTGATGTTATTGTAAATGCGGGCAATCAGCAACCAATCTTCAACCAACCATTCACACTAACCTGCACTGCCAGTGGAGATGTTGAGCACATTCAGTGGATGAAGAACGGCATGTTCCTGTATCCTGAAAATGGAATCACTTTCTCCAATGACAATTCCACCTTGAGATTTCAAAATCTCTCTCTCATTGATGATGGACATTATCAGTGTGAAGCAAGTAACGCTGTCAGCAACTCGACCAGCCACTATGACCTGATGGTCAACTGTGAGTAACACAGATATATTAATAACATGTCCATTTGAATCATTGTTCATGGGAATAATTTTCAATGTAAATGGCATCTTTCAGATGGTCCATGGAACCAGACAGTCGAAGGCCCTATCATTGCAGCGACTGGGTCCAATGTGACCTTTAACTGTACTGCAGTCTCTCGTCCTCAAAGTCAATACAGCTGGTTCCACAATAGTTCAAAAGTGGGAGATGGGCCAGTGTATGTGACTGCAGCTCTCTCACTAAACGACAGTGGACAGTACACCTGCATGACTGTCAATAACATCACAGGCAGCAGCAGCAACGCCTCAGTGCAGTTAACTGTAATAGGTAGGTCTTTTTGTGTCCTGTCAGGATCTTTTTTTAACCCAATTGTTGTTGTTGTTTTACATATGTAAAGAGATCATTTGAAAACTTATGCACATTTTGCTTACATAATATAGAAATTCTCTCCACTCATTTATTTTGGAAATCAGACTACACTGGTTGTACTGTATATGTTTGATTCCCTTAAAATTACTGAATCATACGAGTCATTTGATCAAGCTACACCAGTCGTACTGTATGTTTTTTATTTACCTAAAAGAACTGGCTCATGAGAGTCATTTGTTTGGGGAATCACACTACACTGGTTGCATCATATGTTTTTGATTCACTAAAAAGAACCGGTTCATCAGAGTCAGTTGTTCTTGAATCAGACTACACTGTTGCAGTGTTTTTTTGTTTGTTTTTTTCTAGCCCACAGGGACAGTTCAATAGAAAGTAATTTATTGCTAAAATGTTGCAGTACATGTATTTTTTATGGCATCACATTCAATACAGACCACAAACTAAAAATCATTCAAATGAAGATAATTCCAATGAAGATTACTGTTAAACGCGACCCTAGAAGGTACATAATCACATTATTTACAACACGGTGAGATGGACTAATATAATATTCTGTACACTCTACAGATCCCATCACTTCAGTGGTAGTGACCCCTGATCGTCTCATTCCTCTGGCTTCTCAAAGTCTGCAGCTCACATGTAATGTGATGGGTCCCTACAACAAAATCTACTGGCTAAGAGACAACCAGAATTTCCAGCAATCAGATGGAGTTACATTTTCAGGAGATAATACCACTGTGACCTTCAAATATCTGAAGACCGCTGATGATGGGCAATATCAGTGCGTCGCCACAAACAAATTGAAAGAGCATGCCAGTAAACCATATGGTCTTGTGGTCATCTGTAAGTAATATAAAAAACATACATGTTTAAAATATAGCTGTAAGCAGCAATTAAGGGGCCAATCACAAAAGGGGGACTAAACTAAAAACTAAACGAATTTGAACAACTATGGCATAATTGGTTAGCCTGGTCCCACCAGACTCTCGTACATTTCATTTGTACAGAGAGTCTGGCCTCGCTCCATTGACAAGCGGTAACTTCCTTGTAGGCGGGTACTCTGTTGAAGTTTAAAGCTATTGGATCTGCCCAGAGTCACTCTGGATCTGCCAATCGCTGGCGTTTGGTCGTGACGTATGACAACTCAAACCACTCAAACTAGCGCACGACATCAACGTCATCGTTCTCAGCCACTCCCTCCGTTCACTGATTGGACCGGTAAAAAATTGACCGGAGAAAACCAAAGAATACTCCACAATCCCAGGCGTGGTACTGAAGGAAAATGAAAATTGAGCGGAAGTACGTAGGAGGGCGGAGCCAGGCTAATAATTGGTATCATTGTGCTCAGTATTACTCAAGGAATCTATCCAGAGCAGTTTCATTATACAATAGGTGAAAGTATTCAAAAGCTATTAGCATTTTTTTAAATTTCTTGGTACTTTCTTTTGAAACGTCACCAGGGCATGGTGCCAATGACTTAACAGCGCGTTTCGTAACAATGCGCTACTGTGTTCATAAATCATAGAATTTTACTACACAATTCAAAATGTCCGACATGGGAAAATTGGGTGCTATTCGTGATTTTTTGGTCAACCTGTTCAGAAGTTATAAGCTAAAAATATTATTTTTTCATATCTCATATTTCATCTTAATACAGCAAATAGCTGTGGAGCTACAGCCTCACGTCCATTTTGGCGTGCTCTTCATCGAAATTGTTAATGCACGACTACGAGAACGGTTGGGTCTATCAAAATGTCAAGATGCCTGGATGGTCTGAATGTGTCCTTCAGTGCTTGGCTCCTAATTACTTTGATATAAATCTGACTTTAAAAGACTTGTTTTTTGTACAAACTAAACCACTGTGTGTTTACTGAACAGTTGGACCACAGAGTGTGCAGATCATTGTACTTCCAGGGATTCCCACCAAGTTGACATGTCAAGCACTGTCTCAGCCACCAGCTGTGTATCATTGGATCGAAAACAACACAGTAGTGGGAAATCAGTCTACCGTAGAAGTTCCCATAAAGTATATCCTGGGCAGCAATTACACCTGTGTGGCCAAAAACCCTTTGACCAATGTGACGGTCTACACCAGCCAAGTCGTCAATTGTGAGCATTAGCCCAAATTCACACAAAACAGTTGACATGCAATATAGAGGTTAATTGTCAAAATATGCAAAAATAGGAAGTTGTATACTGTGTTCTTGAAGTAACCATCCTCTCTCTGTCTTTACCACAGACCCCAATGCTGCTGTCAGCGTCCAGGCGAGTGTGTTGCTGACTGCTCTCATCGCTCTGCTGCTCCCTGTGCTTGAGCTATGGCTCTAATACTGATATTACTGTCAGGATGAACATGGTATTTCTGAATGAGGCTTGTAGATTAGTTGAACTGCTCAAATTAATTTTTGAAAGCCAGGCATAAGCATTTATTAACGGAACACTCTTTTGGCAACTAAAAAAGGGGGTTACATTTTAATGGAACCATACTACATTATTTGCCTATATATTTATTTTCTAAAAATTATATATGTGGTACATTTATTACTATCATTAATTGGACAGTAATTTAATGAATCACCCATTTAATATGCTTTACTCTAAATTAAAGCTGAACCTCACAGATGCTTCAGACACAACTTCACAAAGTTCATGTTTCTTATATTTCGCAATTATGTAATCTTCTCTTGAAGGAAAATGATATGCCTACTGTGTGATTTATGTATTTTGTGATTATTTAAAAGATCAAAAAAATGTGAAATGTTATATATAATATATAAATGTTATTTTCTTTATGGAATTAAATAAAAGCAAATTATTCAAACAAACTTCTCTTTTTATTGACAACCCGTTTTATTTTTAAATGCACTTGCACATCTTTTTCCAATATGTAAATCTTTTCCAATTGTAAAAACTGAACCTAGATCACTGGATAGATTAAATGTTTTGGAATATAACAGATACAAAAGTAGTTCAGTATACACTACTTACTTTAGATATAGGTATAGGTGTAATAGGTACATGTATAAAACTGTGGGGACGTATAGTTTGTGTGTATAGTGACTATGAGATTAAATCGGCATACTGAAGCCTTTGTTGCCTTTCTTCTGCTTCCTGACTCCTCCAGTCAAATGTTGGCATTTTTTAGATGTCGCACTCCCCTTCTTTTGGCACAAAGCTTTCCGCTCTTTGAGGACTCCTGAAAATAAAAGAAAGGAAAATGGATAGGGCTGTCAAGCGATAAAATGTTTTAATCTTATTAATTACACGATGCGGCGATTAATTAATCGAATTAACCGCAAATTAATCAGACATCAGTTTGGCTGAGAAATTACCCCCAAAAACTTTTTGGCTTCGACTGCCATGAGGGTGAGTAAATGATGACAGAATATTCATTTTTGGGGTAACTATACATTTAATGGATTTTTTATTAATATGGAAATGAATCTTTTTTAAATGAAATGATACTCTAAATAAGAAACTAAAACTGCCAGTACGTGGTGGTAAATGTCTAAATGACTAAGTCATTAATTGAGCTAATTCAATTAGGAATGAATTAAATGGCTCTCTTTATAAATGGGCTAACAGTTCTGGCTTTAGCCTAATATCCTCGTTAACAAAATTTAGCAAAAGCAGACAATATTGCTTCATATCACTTACTCGAGTGATATGCTTAATTATATCATGATATACATATGAGACAAACTCGTACAGGAGCATTTATATAAAGTTGCCCCGTGTTTCATAATCTGGTCTGTTTAACGTAAAAGACAAATGGTCTGGGTAAATACAGGTTGCATGACTCACTGTGACGTTTCAGCTCACAGGGACAGTTCTCAAATCTTCTTCCTGTGTAAAACACCACATCAATCAAAATGACAGGACTCTTTCATTGTACACTATAAATACTTTTGCACATGTCACGGCAAACATACTGTTAGAGAAAATGTCATATATTCAGAATCAAAACTTCCATCATCACACTTTAAGAAGCACTGAGAGACACTTTACTGGTTAATTGCTGTTGCACATAAAACAAATAAAGTCCACAAAACAATTCTGTTTTCTACAGAATCGCAAGGATATGCAGTAAACGATTGTCATAAAGAACGATTAAAAGCTCTACTACGAGACCAACAGTGAGTTGCGTATGCTATTTTCTTTAAGACATGGGGTAAATAAAGCGAGCTCACTGCTGCCCAGCAAGTTAGCGAAACAATTAAACATTTCAGATTGTTTTATGAGAAATTTTTGTATCAGTTGTCATCAAGAAGATTGAGTAATTTTTAAGTCTTACTTTTAATTAATTTATTATTATCCAAATAAGTTAGCTCCAAATAAAATTAGCATTTCCGCATCAGTTGATATTGTATTTTATACTTGAATGATCATTAAACAAATACTGTTTTTTTCTCCAAGCAATGTTTCAGACTTGACTGCATTACATGAATGTGTAGCAAATAGAATGCTGTACCCTGTTTAGTAAAGTGATTCCTCTACATTCACTTACAGTTTCGCCAGTGGGATAAGTCATGCAAACCGATCAGCTGTGCTGGTAACTTATAACAGAAATAATCACGATTATATGGAATGGAGATTTTTCTTCTCTATACAATAACAGGCAATAACTAGTCAACATTTGAAGTGGATCAAAACCTTTAAAGTTAAACATGAATTTTGAACAATACCTGTTCTTGTCTTAGGACAACTTTGATAAACTTTTTTGATCCACCTCAAATGTTGACTATAGATTCAGTGCTTCCTCAAAATTCATGCCTTAAGAAATGAGGAACATTATGTTCCACTATGTTGTTAGAGTATAGCTTTGAACCTGTTTCCTTAAATGCGCACAGTCATGATTTTCCTCTGATTCATTGAGCATCAGAGTTTTCATGTGTTTAATTGTATGTCAGTGTGTAAGAAAATATAAGATATTTGGGGCTCCTAGTATTTTGTGACGCATTTAAAAGTCATTTTTAAACCATTTGAGTCGATGGTGACCTCTCTCATGGAGGTTTCCAGATATGTACATTTCTGATATGTAAGATATGTAAAAACAAAATGTGAGTATCATCTTACCACTGCAGTTGCATGTCCTGACCTGCCTTCTGGACACCTCTGGAGATTTATCTGAATCTCTCAGCTGAGGCTGGGCTGCATCAAGGACAAATATTGAAATAAATCACACATTTAATATCATACATTTTAATTAAAAAAACTTTTGAAATATATTATATTGCAGGATTTAAAGGAATAGTTTACCCAAAAATGAAAGATATTTTGAAAAATGTTTGTAACCAAACAGTTGATGGAACCCCATTGACTTTCATATAGTATTTTGTACTTTTTTTATATGGAAATCAATGGGGTTTGGTTAACCATATTCTTCAAGACATGTTCTCTTGAGTTCAGAAGAAGAAATTCATACAGGTTTGGAACAACTTGAGGGTGAGTAAATGATGACAGAATTTTCTTTTTTGGGTGAACTATCCCATTAACAGATGTAATTTAACAGCTAAATGCAAATGCAAAACAAGCAATATATTTTTGGTTTGGTTTGTAACATTACAACACAATATAACATAACAGCTAAACAAACAAACAAAAAAAGAATATACATATAGCATACATTAAATGTAATTATATTAATTCATTTTTTTTTTTTACCTTGACAGTGGATGTTAGTGGCAATCACCAGAGCAAAGGCCAGCAGAAGCACCTGGAACTTCATCTTTCTCACAAGCACTTACACAGAAAATGAGAAATACTAAATGATTTTAAGTCTTCAAGACTCCTGCTTTTCAAGAGAACTCTGTATTCAAATCTAGGGTTACACAGTATTTATATGACAAAGCTCTGATTTCTGGGTCTCAAAAGCCACGTCTGGTTATGCCCCAACTTGCTGGATAGAATTTTAAAAGTGAAGTGTGAATGACTTGCTGACAGCATTTTTTTTTTTTATGTAAACTGCCAAGATCTGTGATGAGGGTTGCCATAATTTTGCAGAATTTCAATGTCCCCTTTGTAATTCAAACTCTGATGAACCCTCACAGAATTGTTTCTTATTCTTACCATATCACATTTATACCTTAGTTCAGTTCAAATGAGACCTATTAAGTCCAGTGCCAAATGTTGCAATAGATTGTTTTGCAGGAACCCAAAAGTTCATATTTCACTAAACCTTTCAAAGTCTGATAACATTATGCGGTTACAGTGATTTGTCATGGAAGAAACATGATGGATGTTCTTGTGAACAAGCACCTGGTGGTCTGGGTCACATTTGATGAACAACTCAAAACCAGAAAAATAAATTCCTTAACAGCTAAATGATATCAAGCATGCACCCCATAATCAATCTTGTATTCACTCAGATTCATTAAACTGTAAAGACATGAATTTTGAACAATACCTGTTCTTGTCTTTGGACAACTTTGATAAACTTTTTTGATCCACCTGACTAACTAACACCTGACTAACACCGTTGTATAACTGCGAAACAAAAGAGGAAATAAATATTGTCTTTCTGAAGACACTCTCAGAATATATACAAGAAATGACATCTTGTGGACTTCTTTATTCAGAGTTCTGACCTCAACCCAACTGAGATGCTTTGGCCTGACCTCAGCACTGCACATGCCAAGAATGTGGCTGAAATGAAACCGCTTTGTAAAGACAAATGGCACCGATTCACAGTTGCAGAAATCATATTGCTGTGTTATCTGTTATTAAAACCATAAACATCACACAATTTCAAATCACATACTTAAATCCTCACTCTGCCCTGAATATTTACAGTGTGTCTGATAAATCTATAAAACTATAAGCAGACTGTATCTATTGTTGTTGAATACCAGAGTTATGCAGAAAACCCGTTTTCATACTTTTTCCTAACTTTAAATCAATGTCTGGATGTCGGCTTTCAGAAAAGATAGCCTAATGAAGAGAAATTAGATTCTACCTGTCACATGCTGACATATAAGAAATGTTGTGCAAGACATTTGAGTGGATAAAAGAACTAAAGTACACATGGGTTGTCTCGAAACTCACGGATTTACAGATATCCTGGAACTGTAATTCTATCTTCAACAGTCTGAATCACTCAGCTTGATATCACACGTCATCTGACACTCTTGTGTGTACACCATAACATGTCCCAGCCGAGTGCTTGTTTTCTGATGCTTATCAGATTGTAGGTGCCAAAAGGTATATAACAGTATTTGTGCAGTGACACAATATCAAAGAGCAACTGACTTTAATTCATTCACCTGAAGGAGACCTATCGGTCTGAGACTGACTGACTCTGAAGCATGTTTCCTGAAAGCAACTGGAAGTTACTTTAATCACATGGATTAACTTCTGAATTTAAACTCATTTTGATATTTTTTTTCTGGTTATTTCAGACTGTAAAATATCATGCCCCAAAACAATTATATTAAATATCAATTTATGACATTTGTCTAAAAAATGTATACACACTCACACACACACTGGTGGCCAAAAGTGCTTTCATACACAGAAATTATGAACACATGCAAAAACAAGAAAGAACCAAATAAACATTAATAACTGATTATGTTGTTATTATATGCGTTTTCCTGTGAGCTTTTTGTTTATCTTATGTATTTATTTTTTTGCAAAGTAAAATAAAACCTATAGCTGTACTTTGCCTTTTTTGTCAAATAATTTAACCAAGTTTAGTGTTTTGTTTTCCTTCATATTTACAATATTTAAAATAAATAAATAAACATTTTCCTCATTTTGTGATAATTTAATCAAACTCATAAAAGGGTCATAAAAAAAGAAATATCAACCATCAGACAACACTTTTGGCCACTACTATATATATATATATATATACATACCTTAATATAATATAGACACTACCCTTCAAAAGTTTGGGGTAAGATTTTTAATAGAGCGATGGCACATTAAATTGTTCAAAAGACATTCATAATGTTACTTACAAAAGATTTCTATTTCAAATAAAAGCTTCTTTTGAACTTTCTATTCAACAAAGAATTCAACTTAAATATTAACCGTTTTAATATTAACTGTCAACACTGATAATAATAGGAAATGTTTCATGAGCAGCAAATCAGCATATTACAATGATTTATGAAGGATCATGTGACACTGAGGTGATGATGCTGAAAATTCAGCTTTGCCATCACAGGAATAAATTACATTCATAAACATTCAAATATAAAACAGTTATTTAACATTGTATAGAATAATAATATAATTTCATATTTCTACATTTAATATAATATTTCAAATTTTTTACTGCATTTTGATCAACTAAATACAGCCTTGGTGAGCTTTCATGACTTCTTTCAAAAACAAAACAAAAATCGTACCAACCCTAAAGGATTGAACAGTGTACTGTATATTTAAAAACGGAATATAATACACTTCTAAGAACTTGACAAATGTTTTCAAACTAAATTTGTCCTACATAACAAAAGACAGCTTAAAATAGAAATACAAAACAACACATTTGAAAGGTTTTCCAGGTTTTATTCCATAATTTTTACATGATAACTGTTTATCGCAGCACCAGACACATCTAACCCTCAGACTGGAATCTCAACATAAGTCATTGGGGAGACACAATTCCTGGAATCACTAGAAGACGATAATGTTCACAAAAGCCCATCAAGACAAGACAGTACGAACACAAACACCAGGACAAAGCAGCAGAACAATCATACACCTTAACATTTAACCATTTAACCATATTCATCAGCATTTGAAAGTGACGGTGGGTTGATTGGTTGTAACACATCCAGAATTTAAAATAAAGAAAGTGGTCGGACTCTTGTCAGTTCCATTCTCTGCTTATTAGAAACTGAGCCATGCAAGGACCACCCACACCCACTCCTTGTCTTTAGTTACAAGGTTGGGTTTTATCCAAAATGTAAATCTTTCAGTCAGATACCCCTGGTGCCTAAAGTAGCCTACATATGATTTACCTGGAGGTGAAGGAGAGAATCAGAAAATAAAAAAAATAAGAAAAACACTGTACAAAAATAACTGAAACACTAATTCAATGTTTATCACAAAGAATTCCTGCAAAGAAAGTATCCAAAACAATAAATCTTATGTAATCATTTTAAAGCTACGTAACATCGTGTGAGGCACCTACCCTTTTTTTCTCAGAAAAGAGACTACGGGCATCTACTATGGAGGATCATTGACGGAGAACAAAACCAAATTAACCCACATCGTTCCTTTCAACAAATAAACAAGCAGTTTCCAACATCTGAAGAGCTACATAGCCTGCTTTCGAGAAATCTGCTGTTTCCTACACAAGGATCAAAAGGAAGTCTTGGTCAATCAAACCATGATAGCAGCACGCAGCCCTTATGTACACTTCAACAACCTCTACTCATCAACATTACACTGCAAAATAACAGGCTTGTTCATATATGCACAGACTTTGTAATGTACTAAACATTTTGCGTAAAGAGAATAAATCTGACAACATTTTGGGGGGGGGGGGGGGGGGTTTCCATCTTCAAACTTGATAAGGCAAATACATATTTATAGAAACTGTATTATTACGATGTTTGGAACTACATGAGGTATGGCATGACAGTTTGCATTTTTGGATGAAAAAAATGCGGTCTTTATGCGGTCTCTAAAACAAAATCTATTTTTGTAGTAACAAGGAAGCAGTAATGCATACTGACGGGAAGCATGTGTTGATGTGTATGATATATACGTGTGTCTATTAAACAGTCATGAGTTTTCCTCGGGGTGTTTATATCTCAATAAGGCTCTAATTGTAGAGCATAAATGATGAGACATCCGTTATTTCACAGGAAAGGGTGTTTATGCTATATTTTGTGTTTGCGTTCATGGAGTTTGCTTATCTAAAAGGGATTTGATGCATTCATGCAAGGGCTGGCACACCCTCTGGTAGGCCTGCGGCGTGAGATGCAGATAATCATACATGTCCTGATGTGCGATGGAACCATCGGACTGAATAAACCCAGGGTCCATGTCCAGAAAAGAGACATGAGACAGAGACGCTACCTCAGCCTGAACTTGAGCATTCACACTTGCGTTACGCTCCCGAAGAGGGTTTGGACTTTTACCCCTCGGCAGCAATCCCTAGTGGTGAGGAAAGAAAGAGAATTACCTTCCAATAGATGCAATAAGTTTGAGCCTTTTAATGAGACACCAATATCTATTGAGGATAATATTTATGAAAAACTGAGATACTACCGTTTTTATATGTCTAAAAGACAAAAAAGGAGCTTTTTGTCAATGGTCAAAATGACTGAATATGCATAACCGTTCAAAAGGTTTACAAGATATTTTTTTTAAATCACAGTAAAAACAGTAATATTGTGAAATATTATTACAATTTAAAATAACCATTTTCTACTTTAATATTTTATAACATGTAATTTATTCATTTGATGGCAAAGCTGAATTTTCAGCATCATTACTCCAGTGTCACATGATCCTTCATAAATCATTGTAATATGATGGTCTGGCACTCAAGAAATATTTCTTATTATCAAAGTTGATAACTGTGCTGCTTATTATTTTTGTAGTAACCATGATGCAAAAGGTCAGCATATTTTTTAAATAGAAATCTTTTGTAACATCGTAAGTCTTTACCGTCACTTTTGATCCATTTAATTCATCCTTGCTGAATAAAAGTGATAATTTCTTTAAAATATATATATCTTACAAAGTTTTGTACAGTAGTGTACATTATAGTACCCTGGATTAATGTTCATTTATATGATTCAGTTATTTCTATCATTTTTAAATAGAAATATATTGTGCACATTCTCTCTCTTAATAATTAATATTTGTTCTGGTCATTATTTTCACCTATCTGTTCTTGTATAATGTTTGTTTGGAAATATGTTTTACCCTTTGGACAGTTCTATTTTTGTTACTTTTTTTGTTTGTTTTTCTGTTGCCCATTTCTCTGTTGAACAAGTCATAATGGCCAAGAACATCACATTCAGCACTGATGGAAATTGACAAGACTGGTATGATGAATTCAATTATTTTCAAGATATGAAATAATGTTGTGACTGAGAGGAAGGGGCTGAGATAACTAACCAACACAAGAGTGTGAGCATGAGGCAGCTTCTGATGGATCACATTGACGATGGCCATGATGCCTGCAAGAATCTGCTCTGGAGTGTGACCATGATTATTAGTGCCCACCCACAACACCACCACCTGCAGACCAACAGACCAAATAAGACATTAGTAACCATTTTTGCTAGAGGAGGGTCTTTAAGTTCGTTTCGTTAATTAACTTTTTCAGGTGTCTAAACAGTGTCATCTGTGACCATTTTCCATCATAAGGGATCCATACACAAATGATTCATGTTTAAGATTTAGCTGCTCCATGTCAACCTACACCAGGGGTGGGGAACGTTGATCCTGGAGGGCCATTGTCCTGCAGAGTTTAGCTCCAACCCTGAAAAAAACACTCACCTGCCTGTAACTTTAGCAATTCTGAAGACCTTGATTAGCTTCAGGTGTGTTTAATTAGGGTTGGAGCTAAACTCTGCAGGACAATGGCCCTCCAGGATCAACGTTCCCCACCCCTGACCTACACGTATCAAAGTAGCCGGAGCAACTTTTCTTTATTTAAGGATATGACGAGAGACAAGGGTGAGTGACACATGTACACAATTTCCTGCAAAAACCATCCCACTAGGTCTAAAATATAAACACTTAAAACAGGGTAAGAAAAAAAACTGTTTTGGAAGGACTGATGATGTATTAACTCATTTAAATTTTGTAAAAAAAAAAAAAAAAAAAAAAAAAGAGTCCTTTAATATAGGACTATTGCCTAGTTAGGTTGGCTCTATGTAGATATTGTAATAGTAGTTTAATTAGTTTTGTTCATGAATGAATCAGCCGGTTTGAATGGATCAGTGAATAAATGATTCTTTGACTCACTTATTAAGATTTGCAAAAGTATCATACACACATTTTTTTTATTAAATATTTAATTTCATATTTCTATTTTTAAAATGTTACATTATAAAACTAATTCCATAACATTCCCGCAACTGTAAATTAAGTGTAAATACATCAAAATAATAATAGAATAATAAATAGTAATTTCTGTATCATAACATTGATTTAGTTAATTTACCAATTCCAGCATAATGCTAACAAAGGACAAATTGAATTATTAAATTGTTTGTTTGTTTATAGTTTAAAGGCATGCCAGCTATCTCTAAATTCATGGTGAGAAAGAGATTAAAAAAAGAACTATTAAAATAGATTTTTATATTTTTTCTTGGATAAAAATTCTAAAACTAGATCTGGTGTTACTTCATTAAGAGTCAACTGAAAAATAAAGAACTCTAACAGAGTTCAATCTATCACAGTCCAAAATATGCTTCAGTAATAATGGATTCTGGCACAAGGGGCATATAGATGGATCTTCACCCGTTAACAGAAACATATGAGTTAGTCTGGAGTGCCCTATTCGTACTCATTTAAATAAATAAATATGAGAGTAATTTAAAGGTATTCTACAGTATGTAACTAACTTTTGAATGTGTTTTTTATAGTAATTGTTACAGGGGTGTCCTTCCTTCTCCACCCTCCACCCCCCACCTGAGCACCTGCCCTCCCTGTTGCAGATCATTTACCTTTGGGCTGATGTGGTCCAGTTCTCCATTTATGAGTCTCCAGAGTACATGCTGTGTAGCATCTCCACCAATCCCAAAGTTCAGTGCATGGAGAGGAGAAAACAGCTTTCGCCAAACCTGCCAACATCAAGTAAAAAGAAACCTTGCATTGTGGATCTGTTGCTTTTTCTGGTAACACTTTAGTTTAGGGTCCAATTCTCACTATTAACTAGTTGCTTATTAGGATCCATGTTACAATGATATTTGCTGATTATTAGTATTTATAAAGCACATATTAATGCCTTATTCTGCATGACCATATTCTACATCCCTTAATCCAACCCAATACCTAAACTTAACTGTACTAACTAATAAGCAGTATCAGTATAGTTTTAATTAATTCCCTGTCAGCATCTGTGGCTATCTTCATGGCAAAAACTGAATTACAAAAAAACAAGATACATGTATACAATAAAAAAAAACAAGCAAACAGAAAAAAAATACAGCATTTATTATTATTCAAGATTTTGAACATTAACATAATAAAAATCCTAAAACCTTTTTCTAGTAAATTCTTACTAAACAAATCCTTTACGTGAGCTTACTTCATACAAATGTTTTCTACTAGCATTAAAAGCAGGAGAGTCCAATAAAATGTATAACTAATAAGCAGTAATTAGGGGTTTATTAAGGCAAAAGTCATAGTTAATAGTGAGAATTGGGCCCTAAACTTAAGTGTGACCAAACCATTTTCCCTATTGTACCGTGACTTCTGTGTACCGTTACACCCCTAATATTTATATATATAGTATACAAAACCTAGCAAGTATTTATGCAGTAGTTGATACGAATGCTGTACCTCAAACTCATGCAGAAGCTGAATAAGTGAATCTCCAATAAACAGAACATCAGGCTCTTTTCCTTTACTGTCCGATACAAATCGATTGTGCTGCACAGATGAGAACACATAAAAATGTCATTATGACTCTGTTTGCATATTAGAGAAGGTGCTGGCTAATTGTGTTTTTGACAGATACAACAACAGGATATGTTAGCAGTCTAATAGGTACACTAAGGTTGTAATATTGTACAAAAGAACCACCAATGACATCCATCGGCCATCTCCCTGTGTGTCCTGACAGGGGGTGGGTGTGGCTGCAGGGTTAGATTCTCCACTCATTACTTCCTGGGGAACGACATGGGGAGATGAGTTACATTTTCTCAAAGCGTTAAAAATGGACCCTCATATAAGCCCAAACAACATTTGAGATTATACAATTTTGAGCACAATGTTGTGCTTTAACATGCAAAATATTAAATTAAAACAAGTTGTACTATGGTTAGCTTATGTACTTTGTACGCATCGTATCCGTATGACAAGCAAAAACACGGCTACATTTTTCACAGCTTTACTAGTTTGCTGCTATTTTTGATGAAGTTTGCATTGCAGTAGCTCACAACCTGGCTGATGAGAAAAAAATAGCAGCTTATAAATAATACTTGATTGGACGTTTGAGTATATCAAAAAGTTAGCGTCTTAGATTATTAATGCTAGTTAAAAGTGCTTTTTAACTGAGCAGCTCACATAGCTAATGTAGCACTTAGCATGCAGATGTCTCCATTTAGAAGAACAAGGCACAAAAACGCGTTAAAACAATGCGTAATATGATACTAAGTATTTGCAATACATGTTAGCACTTTTGTCGATTCATATTCATTTTAAGGATGGGAAATATCGTTACCAACAAATGTGACCACAGCAGAGTTCAGTGTTCAATCAGTCAGCCAGCCAGCGGTCAGCTGCCAAACCCCGGAAGCAGGAATATCGAACCAGGCATTACTGGCAGATCGCCGAGAACAGTCGACTTATAAAATAGCATAAAACTTAAAAAAAAGGTAATTAAATCTCCTTCGGTTTTTTTTTTATGTTTTCAGTGGTGCAAATATATGTCAAACTTTTAAACATTTTACTTAATAGCAATTTCCTTTGACCGAAATAGTCTTTGCAGAGATCTGCATTTGACGGTCATCTTTCGAACCACGTTGCCGAGCAACGAAAAGTTAAACCTTAACGGCCTTTGGACTCAACTACAGGTATAACTTACCGATTTCATGCGGTGGTTTGATATATGTATGTATTATATGTCTATTTGATAATGAAGAAAGCATTTCATTCAACCGTTTACAAAGAATGCTCTTAATTTGATGTGTGTTGCTAAACGAGTGTGGTGAACATAACCAATAAGCATGTGACTACTAACTCAGATTACTTAAATTATTTAAATACATAACAGGCTCATTTTTTATTTTAATAACGTGTGTTTAATAGTCTCAACATGAAGATGAGCCACCAATCCTGCAAAAGCTTTCCACATAAACACAGCTTGCCGAAGACATCCAACGACCACCGCAGTCTCAAAACCAAGTCTTCATGTCATGCAGCCAATGCTGTCCACAACTGCAAACCGGCATGCAGCAGCAGCATGAATACAGATGTGCATCGCAACTCAACACATAAAGTAAGGCGTCTTAAAACCAGGAAGGAGAGGAATCAGGTTCGAGATCAGGAGAGAAACCGGTCTCACACATACAATCAGCACAGTAGAAAGGTAGGCGGTGAGAAAGCACAGTGCCACCACATCCATCCACTGTCATGTTCAACAAAAGAGAGGACATTTGCTAAGCCATTAATTCGCCAGAAGCCAAGCATCATAACTGAAGGACGTCTTACCTCCATCCGAGGCCTTTTCAGCCATAAGGTGAGGTCCATAGATATTGAGAGGCTGGTGAGCGACCAAATAAAGAAAGATAAGCAGAAAAAAGAGCAAAGAAAACAGTTTATGATGCACATTACATCACCGCTATCTCCCCCAGTAACGTTACCTGATTCAGACCAGAACTGCACTCTCGATGAAGTACAGGAACCACTCCAGGAACAAGAAAACAATATGCCGCCACATGTGAAGAGGAAGAAGGGTTCAAGAAAGGAGCTTATTGGAAAAAACACTGGTATTCGGACTAATAGAGGAGACGCAGGGCCTATGGGATTATCTAGAGAAGATGGGAAGTATGACAGAAATGCCAACACCAGGAAGGAAGATACTAGTAACAAAACAAGGCAAGATAGTCCAAGTAGCCCAAGAGAAACTGAACATGTGGTTTTGTCATCCTTAGAAAATGACCCGGTTCATCAGTTATGTTCTACTCCAGTTGAAACCAATAAGAATAACTCTGATATTTCACAAACAGACACTCTCAAATCCCATGATGAAGGAAATCAAGAAAAAGGTTTTATGAATATTCAGATATTTGAGAAAACTTCTACAATGATGGGATTCCCAAACATGGAAGCTCCACAAATGTTGGAAAATCTGCAAACTTTTACCTCTCTCTCTGAACTGGACTCTGGGGCTGGTCAATTGGCAGATAGTGTCAAGCATAGGGAGCAAATGTCAAAATCTTGTAGGGAAGCAGTGAAAAGGCTGGCAAGGCGTTTGTGCCAGGCTTCAGAGCTCCATGTACCAAGCCATCGGCGTCCCCTGCTGGCCGAGTGTAGAGAGGTGCTAATGCAGACTTTACAAAAAAGACATGGCTTCCAGTTAGAGCACAACCTGTATAGGCTACACTCATTCTTGAATGAGAAACAAGCTGCCTCTCAGCTCAGCTCAGGACAGAGTCATAAAGATTGTTCACCGTTTAGCCATGCAGTGGAGAACGAGGAAAGGTGTTACAGCAGGAACATGGAGATTTGGACAGGTATGTCACAAATAACATTTGTGCTTCAGTGACAGGTAAGAGTGTCCAAGATAAAGAAAATGAAGCATCTTTTAGAAATACAGTTTAAGCAAGTTCCTAGAAATGTAATCTTTGTATTTAGGTTGCTTTTCAAAAAACTTTTATTCTATTTTCAACAACATTTTAAATTTAAAGCTATGACAATTTTCAGTATGAAATAACCTAGTCTTTTTAATAAAAGGTCAAATTATTTGTTAATGTAAGATCATTATTAACCTCGAAACAGACATGATATCATTCCTGTTTTATTTATTTATTTTCCTGTATGCTTCTGCACATTGGTTACTCAACATGAGTTTTATCAAATGTTTATATTTCAATGGAACTGCTTTGATGCTTATTTTTTTCTGAAAAAATAATAATAAAATAATATACCAAACTACTCAAGTTTTTATATATATATATATATGGTATTAGGACAGATGTGTAACTGACATTTTTTACTTAATGCACCCCAAAAAATAACAAAATGAATTTTAATTTAGAAAAATAAAAACATGCTTATCATTGAAGAGGTTTATTAAAATCATTATGGCCCTGCTTCACAGACAGAGCTTAGATTAAGCCAGGATTAAGCCTTAGTTCAATTATGGCATTTAAGTAACTTTTATAAATGTGTCTTAGACAAAAACATTAATGGTGTGCATCTTGAGACAAAATAATGACGCTAACATATTTTAAGATATGTCAGTGCAAGTATCTTTCAGTTAAAACAGTTAAAACATTCATTTTTAGTCTGGGTTTAGGCTTAAGCCTTGTCTGTGTTATACCGAGGGTATATGTATTAATTGCATTTTTATATCCTGACAAAAAAAAAACGAGTGTCATGTCATTAACCCTTGTCTCATGGTATAATATTTGTGTACATGATAGAAGTTTGAAATGACCTCTCTGCTTCATAGACAGTGCCATGCAGCACAATTACTTAGCAGAGGAAGTTAGGCTGGACTTGGACAGAGGAGCTTCCACCAAGAAACGAAGGATACAAGAGTGGAACACCTCTTCCCCTCCATTCTCTCTAGAAGAACCACAACAATCACACACAGACATGGTGAGTCAGTGAAATCAGACACAAAGTTTAATGTCTCTCTACAAAAGAGTAAAGAATCAAGTCCAAATAATACCAAAGTTTTCGTAAACTAGACTATTACAGAGGAAAGAAATTTTTACAACTTGCAGTTCAGGGCTCTATGGATATTTTTTGCATCTGAATTTGATTGGTCAATCTTTGCAGTTTGACCAGTGGAGGGCAGCTGAATTGTCTCAGGATTTCTTCAGAGCTCAGCATCATCCCAGCAGACACCTCTTTAACCAGAGCCAGACCTTTACCCAGCATGCCGTCCCTATACTCAGAGCCCCCACCTGGCTTGATCATCCTGTGAACTCCTATTCCCAGCAGCAGTCACTGAGCACAGGGGAGAGTTCGAAAAGTGTATATTTAGATCCCTCCAGAATCTCTCAACAGTGTACAGAAGAAACAGATCTTAGTTTTAATTCATATCACTTAAATGAGAGCAGAAAACAAAAACCACAAGAACCATCTTTTGGAGGATCCAGATTCTGGTCCAATCAGCAGCAAGTTCAGGATGAAAGAGAAAGATGGGCTCCCTTTTCATTCTCAGCATCCTATCTCTCAGAGGGCTTTCAGTACGAGCCCTTTTTTCGCTGTCCACATCCATCTAACACATCCAGGTCAGACTGGCTTGGTATGACTCAATGTCCCAGGTCAAACACACCATTTCCCCCTCCCCTTTACCTATAGCAAATGCTGTTTGCCATGGCTAATCTCATCTAATCATCATAGGTGATGATGTGGTCCAACTATGCATCTTCTTACGTCTTTGTACGAGTAAAACATTTTTTTCTTTGCATTACAGATTTACCTTTTTATATTTACAAAAATTGAAAGACCATCACCTCTACATGTGATTTGAATTTGAGAGTTCAGAGTACTTACATTATGATTTCTCTAATATATATCCGTATATACTGGTAACACTGGTAGTAAAAGTGAAAAACCCTTTTTAAGATCAAATCACTTTTTGTGGTGTACAAATATCAAAAGCACTGCTTATTTCTTTTATTCGCCTGCATTAATAGTGTAAATGTTTGTCTATTGTCACAAAGAACTGAAGGTAGCTCAGCCACAAGGATGCTGCTTATATGTATTCCTTTTTGATTCTTTTATTTATTAATTTAGTCAAATTTCTTCAATAGATTTTCTTCTATTCTATATAACTTGACTGGACTTTTTTTTTTCTTAAGTTCATTATACTGTAAAAATAAGATGCATGTGATTTTGTTATATCCTTTTAATAAAGCAGTACAAAATTTACATTTTTACATCAAACTGATTTCACAATTTTAGTTTTATATCTGCTAAAATATCTTGTAGTAAAGTAAAATATAAGAATTCAATTTAATACGCTTGTAAAGTAAGTAGATCATAGTTATTTTAGCTGGTGAATTTCTATTTATTTAATTATATTATTTAATTAATTTTCATTACATTTTCACCACAAAAGCCTAATAAAAATTAAAAATACCTTCTGGTAAGTTTGTATCTTTTCCATTATTATTATTTTTTACATATTGTAATGTATGCAGCCTGCAGAATTTATAGCCTTTTATTGAAGTAAATTAAATTAAACTTATATTGTAAATTTGGTTTTATACATGTAGTCAGGGCATCAGGTAATACACTTCCTCATCTATTGGTGTCTGATTCACAAAATATTCGGTTTCCTCCATGTCCTTCTCTTTTCTCTTCTGATCATTCTCCTCCTTCATCTTCTGCTCCTCTTGGCTTCCAGTGTTGCTGCTCCTTAGAGCTCTCTTTAACTGATTCCAGAACAGTTCTTTTGCACTGCTTGGATCAGAACAATTTAACCCTGGCCATTGCAAATAGGTCTTTTTGAGCATGACCTTTCTCATACGGTGATAAGTGGACAGTTGCTGCTTTGGTATAGGCTCCAGAAAGACCAGCAAAAGCACATCCTGCATTTCTTGAAAGAGACGATAGCTGGCCAGCTGGATCTCCAGTGAGCACCATTCACTGCGAAGGAAGCTCTGACTGACCACACAGATCGTTTTGCGACTTCCATATACAGCAGCCACAATGTTGTCGACAATATCGCGGCCCAGTTCGAAATCTCTGTGGTGGAGGCAGAGCCGAAATGAAGAACCCTCGAGATTCGGCAGCAACTGTTCCATTACCCAGTCTTCATCTGCTGAGTTGTAGGAAACAAAGGCATCATACTTGTATTTCTCTTCCTGGTCCCTTAAGCGACGCCACTGTTCTCCAAACCATGATCGAAACACGTAGTAGCCGTACTTAAACTTCCAATAAAGTCTGACATAGAGAAATGGTATTAAGGTTAATAATATTGTGAATGTAAAAGTTAAGGAAAAGAGGTAGAGTTCTATGTCCAAATAACACACATTAGTATCAAAGTTGTGAAAATATGAGCCTGGATGGTCTTGGCATGTAATATTGTAAAGATATGGAAATTGGAGTCTCTTATTGCTTACGGTCCAGTTCTGTAGATCACTATTCTGGCAGCCACAACTGAGAGGACAACTGCGCATGTCAATGTATGTTAGATTGGTCAGATTGTCCAGTAAACTGATGTCCAAAGACATCATGGCATTGCGATTCAGATGTAGTGTCTTTAGTCCTGTCAAATTTCCAAAGACCTCTTTTGAAAAAGATTTAATCCCCATGTTCTCAACCAATAACATCTTCAATTTTCGAAGGTTTTTGAAAATACCAGGTTTGAGTTGGGCGATCCCGACACATGAGTCGACTAGAGTTAAGAACTCCAAGCTTTTCAGGTCATCAAATGTTTCATCCCCAAATCCAATGATGTGGTTGTTGGTGAGGTAAAGACTTTTTAGAGAAGTTAGACCCCGGAAAAACGCACGCGGCAACAAGTATATGCCATTTGGTTTCTGCGCATCAAGTTTCAGGTCGAGAAGCCTCGACATATTAATAAACGGCGAGTATGTATGCTCTTTCAAATACTGAATGTGGTTATCCTGTAAATCAAGCACCTGCAGGGTGGCATGAAGTTTCCCAAAGAGACTGCTATCAATCATATTCAGACGATTTCTATCTAAATACAAATTGGCCAGGCTATGCAGCCCATCAAATGCATGTGGCTTCAGGTGAGTGATCTTGTTCCCGCCTAAATCTAAAATGCTTAGATTTGACAGAGAATGAAAGGTATAGTTGAAAATTACAGCTATTTGGTTGTTGCGCAGGTTGAGAGTCTTCAGGCTGGTAAGATCCTCAAAGCTGTCGTTGTAGACATCGGTCAAAAGGTTGTTGTCGAGACGAAGTGTAACAAGATCTTTGAGTCCACTTAAGGCTTTATGGTCCATATAAGCAATTATGTTTATATTTAGCTCGAGGTTTGTTAATTTTGGTGTATTACTGAAGGCAAAAGCACTGACCTGTAGAATACGATTGTATCGATAGCTCAGGTTTCTCAGGCTGTAGAGCTTTTTCGTTTTGTTGCAGGACGTTAGCCTTGTCAGATGGTTATGTTCCATTTTGAGACTTTCCAGTTGGTTTTGACCGTGCAGAAACTGCAAGCAGCCTGTGGTTTTCATTTCGTTTCGTGAGAGGTCCATTACACCTGTGATATTGGGGCAATGATAAAATGTGTTGTTTTTTAGAGCTCTTATGGAATTGCCCTCGAGGAACATTTTAGGTATGTGTTGCTTTTTATGGTGGTGATGTGTCAGAAGAAAACACAGCGAAGACAGAGCACGAGAGTCCTTCAGTTTCAAACCAGAGAAGTCGATGCTCCACGGTTGTACATTGGTATAAATAAGAAGCTTGCTAGCAGAGACGTTGGTAAAGCGCAAGCGCAGGTACATTATATTCTCCAGATTCAGGCCCTGAAAAGCCTCGAATGATAACTTTTTGTTTTCTGAGAAATCTAGCACTTTCACATACATTAGGAAAGACTTGTCACATCCCAGTTTGTATAGTTTATTATCACTGAGGTAGAGTCTGGAAAGCGACTCTGGCAGACGGTGGGAGTGATGCAGGGTGGTAAGCTTGTTAAAAGAAAGGTCCAGTTTTATCAAGCTGGACAGGTTTGTTATGCATTCAACCAAAGCGGAAAAGTTTTTCAGGTTATTCCGACGTAGGTCAAGAATCTGTAGATTTGTCAATTTGGAAAACAGGAACATATCAGTATTATTAAGTTTGTTGCTTCCCAGGAGCAGCTGTGTGAGGTTATGGAGGTCACTGAAGACATCACGGTGGAGAGATGATATGCTATTGCAGGAGAGATTTAAAATCTGAAGTTGATGCAGATTATTAAAAGCATCTTTGTGGATTTCAAAAATATGGTTAACGTCCAGTACCAGAGAAGTCAGATTGGGCAGATGATCGAAGCTTCGGCCTTGAACAGATGTAGTGTTACTGCGAGAAACTGTAAGGTTTGTTGCTGTGGGAAATACATCTTGCACAATTGTAGTTATGTCTGGTTCGTGACATTTAATACATCTGAAGGTTTTATGGTTAGAATCTGGGATCTCTATGCAACTCCTGAAACTGTAGCTGAAGGCAAGTTTAAGGAGGCAGATAAATACCGCCTTTAGGATCAGTTTGCGGCATGCAGAATCTGCCATATTTTTTAATTCCACTTTTATTTTTGCCTACATCAAAGACCAACACTACGAGGTTCTTCACTCAGTATGAGCTGCACCTAATCCAATATTGAGAGTTTAACACAGGCAGCTGCTAGAAAAAAAGAGGGGAAGGTTATAATACATTTAAAAATAAATCTGAAATAAAATTGTTACATATTGATCTGTAATGCTACTTGTCAAATTGACTTTTTTCTTTTTTTAAATGTATTAAATACAACAGAAACAGACTATGGATGTTTTCTGTATTTATTTTATTTATTTTCAGATTAATAAAATATCGTCAAATGTGATGGAAGTGTATCTAATGTATATGAATACAGGCAAAAAGGTAGATACAAAAACATTACTCCTAATATTAAATTACACCTAAACAAACTTCTCTAACGTATTCTTAGATAATCCATCTCAGGTGACAATTTCCCACTTCTCAGACTCTTTTTCCCCTTTTTGTTTTTACATCAACTTCCTTAAAATCGTAAATAATAAAACAATTAATATATTGAAACAACAAAAATAAAATATCTTTGTAAGTTTATGTAAATCATGACACTTACTACATAAAACTACATAAGTTTCTCTTTTTTCACATGTAACCATTTGCTCACGATACTGATGTTAACATTCATACAAAGGCATAAATCTTGTCATGGTGAACAAAGTAGATAGAGAGCTATGTAACATTATGTGAACAAATGGTTCTCTATAGTGTTAACATGACAAATACAGAAAAAAAATCTCTGACTCACTATTTCGAAAACCATCAACGATCAATCCTAAATAACCCAAGATCTCATATCTTTCATTAATTCATTTCATCATGTTGGCTATTTGTCATTTGAACATTCCCTAAATATAAACAGAACCTTAATTCAGTACCTTACCTTCATTAAATTGTTCCCGATTATTTTGCAAAACTATCATAGCCGTTCTCTCTTTTAAACAGGAATAGAAAGAGGAACCATAAAGGTTTCAAGCCCGAACAAAGAAGACCAGACAATGGGACACAATGCCTGATCCATTTACTTCGATTTTGCAGTGAAAGTTTGAATACTTAAAAAAAAAAAATTATCAAGAATTGATTTGTAATGTTAAATCACATGTAAGGGTCATTTAAATGATATAGTTTGGAATATTCTAAAAAAAAAAAATTAGAAGAAAAAATCCAGCCATCTAGGCATTTTTTAATTTTCTTTAAATTAACCTCTCGCCTTCTGTTCTCGAGCCATCTGACAGAGTCCACAGAAAGGACAGCAGGTCATAATCACCCAGTCATCACAGACAGAGCCCTAAAAGACAAAAGACACTTACTGCAGTGCTATTCTTTGACACCAATGTTATTAATGTTCTGAAATTATAGATTTCAGAAAAAGCAACATCAACATCAGAAAAAGCAATAATCAATACTGAAAATATTTTTTATTGCATGGCCTACATTAATACGATATTTGTCACGGATGCTGGTTCTCAATGCAATCATAGCTCCAGGTAGGAAGGGCAAACAGCAGCTGTCACCATTATCCTGTGCCACCTTACAACCCAAGATGCAAGGAATAAATGCCCCACACAGACCTGAGGAGCAAACCAGTGTCAAAATTCACACTTTTATTTATTTATTTATTTTTGCAATATGAGGCTTGTGAGGTTCAAGCCACTTACTCATCAAATTATTTGAAGAGATAGTTCATTCGGATTTACTCATCCTCTATTTAAATAAATCCTCTATTTCTTACTTCTGCGGGACACGAAAGAAGGTATTTTGAAAAAATGTTTTAACTGTTTTTGTTCAGTAGGGTCCAAAACAACTGACTTACATTGTATACACATTCTTCAAAGAAGGAAAGTCATGGTTTGAGTGAATAATTTATTTTTAGGGAAGAATTTTCATTTTTAGGGAAGCTATTCCTTACCCAATTTATAATATCTATTACCATTATTACATACTGTAAGCAAAATAGATTTACATGAATAAAAAAATATTAATGTCAATCTCTCTCTCTATCTTTCACTCACACACACATATACACTCACAAATGCCGCAGTCCTCGCAACAGTCACAGACATCAGAGCTCCAGTGAGAAACAGTGTAGCTGGTTACAGTCATTTGTGGCTGGGAAGTCATTGCTTCTGTTTGATATGACATCACTGACACAAAGCAAATTATATAATCATTTACAATTAGCAGTATACAGTAAATACAGTAAAGTTGTCTTGTTGCTACAAAACATGTATTTTTATTTGATGGCTATTATAGCAAAGATTGGTTAAATAAGTATGAATTATAGGACATAACATGTGATGTAATTTCTAAGCCAGATGGAATGTTTAAAATATTTCCCTCTCTCTCACCTGTTTCCTTGGAGAGGCTGGTACTGTATGTGTCTCACTTCCTCAGGGAATGATGTTCAATTTCTGATAGTTTCACAGTGAAGTTGGAAATCACCTCAACATGACGTAGGGGAGGAGAAAATGTGGTTACCAGGTGAGTGGTTTATGTGACCTGCAAACTAAAGGGTGAAGTGTTTGATTTGGGGGCGAGGAGGTTTACACTATTTCAGGTCTCCACACCCTTCCATCAACACAGTATATGTTATCTACAACCTATAAAACATTTAGATGAGAACATTGCGGTTTTGTACCTCTTGAATATGTACATTGGCCCTTTTGATCTGTTCGGGTTACTGGGAATTCGGGTGAGCAAGTCCACAACTTTTTCAGTGCCCTTGGTTTTGGAAGTATTTTTTTCATCAATTTTTCCAACAGGGATTTTAAAAAGTGTTATAGACCATAACCCAAACCGGGTGAATCACAAAATTATAAACTTTGATTTGAAGTTAAAGAACTACAATTCTATTAGCATTCTTTTACAACCCCATTTCCTGAAAAGTTGGGACATTTTGTAAAATGCCATAAAATCAAGAATCTGTGATTTGTTAATTCTCTTGAACCTTTATTTAACTGAAAAATGTAGAAAATATTTCCAATGTTTTCACTGACCAACTTAATTTTATTTTGTAAGTATAAACAAGGTTTGATTTTGATGGCTGCTACACACTCCAAAAAAAGTTAGGACAGAGGCATGTTTACCACTGTGTCACATCACCTTTCCTTTTAATTACACTTTTGAATCATTTGGGAATTGAGGATACTAATTGTTGAAGTTTTGTAAGTAGATTATTTGCCGAATTTCGCCTCATAAAAGACATCTACTTATGTCTATGTCCGATTCTCCTTTTCATGATGTGCCACATGTAACCCAGTGTAATAATTTACAAGGTTTATTAGTTATTTTTTTAAAATATATGTATGTATACACATATATAGTTCATGGGAATGTTATAAATGTATATGGTTGTGGATAAGTTATGTTTCCTAAGTTGATGGTATATTTATTATTTTTATAATTTTTGTATTTGGTCATTTCTATTGTTTATCCAATCAAATTCACTTGTCTATGTTGGGTGTCCTATCAATTCTCTAGATTAAGGTGAAGGGGGCGGGATGAATTGAGGGCAAAGTTGAACGAGGAAGAATAGGGAGAGCACGAGGGAGGAGAGCGTGCGATCATCTGGTGTGATATTGTTTCACAAAAAATATAGTAGGCCTATAACTCAGTGTTTCCCCTACCATTGTTTTGGGGGGGCGCGGGCGCCCCCCCCCCCCCCCCCCCCCCCCTAAAATGCTGACGAAATCCAGTCATAAAAAAGGAATTTATAGTGTATAACGCGGAATTTCACGGAATATGTAAATTTGAGGATTTTAAAATATTTTATATATATAAAAAAAAGGTACTGTTTAATGATTCATATTACGTTATTTCAATTAATTAGACATGCTTTTTGATTGCAAAAAAAAATTACACCACGTATCCGTAACACGCCCGCTCCGCAACACTAGCAGCCCCCCCCCCCCCGAAAAAAATCCTAGGGGAAACACTGTAACTAATGCTATAATGTGTTTCAATAGTTAATGTAGTTAGTGTGTTGTCAAAACGAGAACAGAAACTTTTACTACAGAGACGGGTAAGAAATATTTCTCCACAAAATATTTCTGGTTGTGTTTATTCCAGCCTCCATTTTCTAATACAGCGAATGGACTATTTAGAGAGACTGAACAGTGTCTATCTTGCTCGGATGGATTGTGTGTTTAGTTGGCGAGTCGTCAGCGTGAGGATTCGTGGCAGTTTCAGATGAGGATGAGTCCAGATGACTTGTGAGTTAACGTGAGTGCTCGGAGTTCCTTTGGCCTTAAGGAAATCGCCGCGATCGTGGGGTTGACGGACATCTAACGTCGGGAGGTGAAACACGCTCTTCTGATTGGATATTTCAAGGTATTTTTGTTTGTTTGCTCCGTGTGGAGTGAAGCGGTTTTTTATTTATTTTTTGACCACAACGTAGGCCTACCCCAGCATCAAACAGGCCTGCAACGGGAAAATGAAAGACTTACATATTGAATAAGGTTAAGTGTGAGCTCATATATTGCCGGCTTAGTATTTGGTTGAAGAGTATTTTGAGTTTGAGAGAGTTTGGGGACTCAAATTTAAGAAAAAGAAAAAAAAGGTCAACACATAATTATTTACAAAAAAGTGAATATGTGAAATGTGTATTTGATTATTATTATTTTTTTATTCATCTGTGTGAATTGGTGACATTCCTATCTCATAATTGTTATTTTATTTTACATTTTGGAAAAAATCCTAAAACTTGACCCTTTTATATTGTATCCAGTAAATTGTTAATTTACCGTATACTTGAGTGTTTTCAGTTTATTAATTTAAGTTACAAGGGGGATATAAATATATTGGGACCTTTTTGGTGAAACAATTTATTAACAGAAGATAAATCCTAATTCATTATTATGTGATTTCTATTTTAAAGTTAAGGGACCCAAGGAATTATAACAAACACAGTTACACAGAATAAGTTGAAGTGAGTAAATAGGCACACTTAGCTCACAAAATTGGATAAAACAAAGTTTATTCATACAAACTCAGAGCGCTCCATTATCTATCTATATAGGGAAGGGTTAAAAGCGCTACATAAATTGGAGGCACCGCTGGGATCCTTGCGTGTCCCGTCACAGTTGTGTGCTGTAAAAGAAGAAACAAAAATAAGTCTCAGTGATCATCTAGTTAGCACAGTGTGACCATGACTGCTTATTCTATATATCCTGGGCTGGTGGATGAGCTTAAAGGATGGTGTCGAGGAGAAATGCTTAACGAGGCACATGCGCTGATGGTCATTGTCCCTGAAGATGTAGATATTTCTCAAATTGAAGACACCCTCCAATCTGTTAAATGTCTGGGGCGAGTGCGTGTGAGAGGACGCATGTACAACAGCAAACTGGATAGTTTGACTGTTTTATGTGAATGCAAAGAAGTTGTAGACCCTTCTAGCGTCCCTCCTGACATACTTCCCACAGGCGGAATGGTAGCCTGGCCGATTGTCATAGTGACACGAGGTCCAGTTTCAGCCAGTGCTCCCTCTAGTGCAGAGCAGAATGATTCATCTACCGCTGTGGATGATGGCAATGTTCAGGAATTGTTGGGCACACATGATGGCTCGGCTGAGTCTATTATTCATGCTGTGGGGGATCTGCTATCTAAAATAGAAAAACCAGTAAGCGATAGCAGCAGTTACCGTCGCCTCTGTGTTTTTTTCTGGGACTGTGCCAACTCCTGCCGGATAAGAGCCTTTAGAACATTGGCTGGAGCAAGCTCATCTTATGGTAGAAGAAAGCGATTGCTCGGATAAAGAAAAAAGACGTCGGATTATGGAGAGTCTACGAGGTCCAGCCTTGGCAATAATAAAAGCTGCTCGTGTAACCACTGCTGATCTCAAGCCAGAACAATGTTTAGAGGCCATTGAAAGTGCCTTTGGTTCTGCTGAATCAGGGGAAGAGCTGTATATTGCTTTTCGGTTGATGCAGCAACAGCCCAGTGAAAAACTGTCAGACTTTCTTAAAAGGTTGGAACAGGCGCTGACCAAAGTCATACAGCGAGGTGGTCTGTCAGTTGCCGCTGCAAACCGTGCAAGAGTGGAACAGTTACTTCGAGGAGCAGTTGCTGCTGATCTTATGCTGGTTAATCTCAAGTTGAGGGAAAGGAAGGAAAATCCTCCATCCTTTTTGGAGCTGTTGAGTGAGATTCGCAGTGAGGAAGAATACGAGGCGTCTAGGGCTAAGCTAAACTCCACTGTGCATAAAATCCATGCTAAAGCAGAAGTAGACAATAAGCAGACAGAAATTCAGACTTTAAAAACTGAGTTGAAGGAACTGAAAGCTATGTTTGCTTCTATGGCAGCCACCTCTCATGGAGCTGTTAAAGAAGAGGCGTCTGCTGGTCCAGTCATGAAAGCTACAACCTTAGAAAGTTGTACAGACCCTGAAGTGACTGCGCTGAAAAAACAGGTGAAGAGATTGCAGCAGAAAGTTCAAAGTAAAAAGCCCATTGCCTCTGTTGCCTCCTTACCTGTGGAGACTTCTAGCAATTTTCCTGGTACATATAAGCCGACCACGTACAGTGATTCAGATGAATATTACTGTTACCGCTGTGGAGAAAGTGGACACTTTGCGGCAAAATGCAGAAATGCTGAAAACCAAGCTAAAGTTATTCGAAGATTAATCCAGTCACTGAAAAAAGCCAAAAGTGAAGACTTACTTTTATCTGAGCCAAAAGCCAGTACAACCAACTGTTCAGTAAAGAGGAGTGCAGTAGACATACAAAAACAAAGGCACCTTCCAGAAGGGTTGGTTGGTCCAACGTCTGTTGTTCAGCTAAAGGTGAATGGACATGAATGTGACTCCTTATTAGACAGTGGCTCACAAGTAACCATCATCTTCGAAGCCTGGTACAAGCAGCATCTGTCTGATGTTCCCATTCACCCTGTCACAGGTTTAGCCATTTGGGGTTTAAGTGAGTCCAGTTACCCTTACTTGGGTTATGTGATGGTAGATGTTGAGTTCCCTGCCAAAATCACAGGAATTCAGGAAACCCTTTCAGTCTTGGCCTTGATCTGCCCGGGACCCTGTAGTCCAGACCAAACACCAGTTATTTTGGGTACCAATGCTAACCTTTTCAAGCGCTTGGCTCGTTTGTGTAGAGAAAGTACTGGAGTGGACATCGCACAGACCTTGGGCATAAATGTGGGTTCAGTTTCCGAAGAACTGTCATGTGACCCTGCTAAGATCTCTGGTGAAGATGGAGTGGGCAGTGTAAGGTGGCTTGGTCCTGGCGCTTTGTCCTTGTCCCCAGGAGGGGATTGTGTGGCGATCTGTAAGGTGGAGTTATATGAACCATTAGGAGAAGAGGTTCTGTTGGAAGAGGCTTCTCCAGAGGCCACTCTGCCAGTTGGGGTGTTACTGCAGCCCATGGTAGTGCCACATTCTGAAATGGATGTCCACCATTTCCCAGTACTGATGCACAACGAATCCCTGAAGGACACAGTGATTCCAGTAGGAACAGTGGTTGGTCATTTACATCCAGCAGATCCAGTAACATCCGCCCCAAAGACAGGAGAGTTTGATACAAACCTCATTAACTTTGGAGATTCCCCAATTCCTGAGACATGGAAACAGAGGCTAAGGCAGGCATTGTTGGAAAGAGCTAATGTGTTTTCACTACACGAGTGGGACGTGGGTTTGGCGAAAGGAGTGGAACACCAT